ATATATCAAATTAAAGCTCTATGTATCTAGTTTTCAAAAATTTAGATCGCTCATCAATTGAATTTTTATTGAGCAAGTTATGGCTAATTTCCTAGTGACTATTCAGTGGAAATCGAGAAACAGGAGAAACCAAAATGTTTGTGATGATAAAAGGAATGGTTTGGCAGTAGGGCTACAGTTATCCAAATTAAGTGTATAATTTATCAATTTAAATCCCTGTCTGTCTAGTTTCTAAAGATGCAAACCTCTCATCAATTGGATTTTTATTGAGCAAGTTATGGTTAATTTGCTACTGACTGTTTAATGGACCAAAATGTGTGTGATGATGAAATAAATGGTTCGGCAGTGGAGCTACAGTTATCCAAATTAAGCGTATAATATATCAAATTAAAGCATTGTCTACCTAGTTTTTAAAGATTCAATCCTCCCTTCAATTGGATTTTTATTGAGTAAGTTATGGTCAATTTACTATTGATTGTTCAGTGGAAATCGAAATGCGTGTGATGATAAAATGAATAGTTTACTTGACCCAAATTTAAGGGATTATCATATTATGATTGATAAGAAATATTTCAAAAAACACCTATTAATTGGAAAACGAAATGAGCCAAAATTAATTCATTTAACATATATACTCGCATATCAGCAAGACATAAACAATTAATCATTCATATAACAAATTAAAATACGCGAATGTTTTTACAGAAAACATATTCAACACAAATGAACTGTTTCTACTAATATAGATATGACACATACTCACAATTCAGCTGACAATAGGATCATCCTCTATTTAATCTTAGTAAAGTATATGAACATTTCCTTGAAAACAAACATAACAAAATTTAATCGATCTTTATGTTAAGATTGTTAAGGAACAATTATTCATTTGTATAACAACTGTTATCTGAAAACAAAATCAACAAAAGTTAATTAATCTTTATATTAAAATTGTTAAGGAATACACTTACCGTTTGGCAAGACTAACACAATTAATCATTCAAATAGATTGGCCGAACAAAAACAATCATTCAACTAAATAATAACGTTAAAATAGTTAGGAGATATACTTACAATTTCGTATTAAAATAGTTTGAAGATATACTTACAGTTCAGAAGAACGAATCAAAATAACAACTCATTTGACAATGTCAATCGGACATCCTTCCTTTATTCCATGCCAATTCATGAATCTTTGACCTGTAAACAACAACAAAAACATAAAGAAATAAAAAATCATCGATTAACAAAATCATGAAGAACAGACGTATTATTGACACAAACTAACATGACCTATAAACAATTAACAAAAGACCAGACGTATTATTGACACCAACTGACATATTGTGATAATACACAACTGAACATATGCTTCTTTTACAACCCCTTATTTAGACCTTTCGAATGCCAACACAATTAAATACGAAGAAATGTTTGCAATGTCAATACAATGCACCTATATAATTGTTAATAAATATGTATGTTTTTACTACCAATGCAATGCACCTATCTAATCCAATCTTTATATCTATTTATTTAGGCTTTGGAATACCAATGTAGCAATTAATATTGTCTACATCATCACCAATAAAATTCAACCATATGCTAATCACAAATTCAATGTGTCATTATGGTTAGACCTTTAGAATGTCAATACACTATACCTATATAATTAGTACTATTATTAATTATTAATATAACCAATGCAATGGACCTATGTAATCCAATCTTTATGTCTATTTATTTAGACTTTGGAATACCAATACAACAATAAATATTGTCTACATCATCACTAATAAAATTCAATCACAAATCCAATGTGTCATTATAGTTAAACCTTTAGAGTGCTAATATAATGCACCTATATTATTGTTATTATTATTAATTATTAATAACTATTTTATTTGTTTAATTAATTAATAATTATAGATAGAGCAATAAATATCAATCCAACGTGTCAAGATAGAGCAATTTGATTGGTTTGTCAATCCAATGTGTCAAAATGGAGCAATTCTAGAACTTCCAAAATGTGCCACATGGTGAACACACCGCATAGGTATTCATGGCGAACAACTAGCATAGGTATTCATGAATCTTAGAACTAAAAATACCTCATTAAACCACACATCCAACGTGGCAAGAGAAAGCAATTATAAAGCTCTAAAATAAAGCAATTTTAGAGCTTAAAAAAAAAAAAAAAAAAAAAAAGGTGTCCTACGTGTTACTCAAATATATATACTTTTACCTTTGGATTTGGAATACCAAGTAGCAATTAATATCTCTCTACATCATCACCAATAAAATTCAACCACACGGCAATCACAAATCCTATGTGTTAAAATGGAACAATTCTACGAGTTCCAAAATGTGGCACATGGTGAACAACCCGCAATATATATATATATATTATTATTTTTATTATTATTATTATTTGAATCATTTCTTTTTATCCCCTACATTTGAAATTTTGCTAAAACACCCTAGCCATATAAAACTTTAATTTATAGCAAAATCACCCCCACCCATCCCAAGCCACTATCGGCAACCAGCCACCACCACCGGCAATCGATGGAATGACGCAAGACTAATCGTATATGGCCAGCTGTGCATCGACAAAGCTAGAAATGGCCATAGATCACAAATCCATGGTCGAAAAATAGCCAGATCTATGGCCATTTCACAGCCAAAGATCTGGCATTTTCACAGCCAAATCTATGGCCTTTTCACAGCCACATCTTTGGCTGTGAAAGGGTCATAGAAATGCCAGATCTGATCATTTCCGACCATGGATCTATGATCCCTGGCTGGAAAAAGCCTTATCAGCGCACGATCGACCAGATCCTGTTGGTTGTGCACCATTACGATGACTGACACCCGCAGTTGGCGGTGGTGAGTCACAGCCGTCGGTGGTCTTGGGTGGTGGGGGGTATTTTGATAACTTTTAAACTTTTTTGTAGCTAGGGTGTTTTAACTAATTTCTCAAATGTAGGGAGGCTGGGTAATTGTTATTTGGTAGACATTTAAGGACAATTGTATCCAAAATGGTTTTTAATTAAGGACAACATGAGTAGAAAAATCATATTACCTCGGTAATGTTTTAATAACACTCTCTAATAAGGTAATATTACCCCCAACATTACCAACAGTAAACAATATTTGTAATAAAATATTACCGTAATATTTTATTACTTGCAAACCAAACACAAAATTTTGTAAAATAAACAAAGACTACGTCTGTTATCTTATTTACCCCCAATCCAAACAACCATTATATATAAGAAGGGTTTAGAAACATAGATATGAAAGGCAATATTTATTTATTTATGTTCTCATCACTTGATGATGAAATTTCTAAATGAGAAATACTAGGTTTACAAAGAGAAATATAAAGAAAGGTATACAAAGACAAATCATGCCCTTAAAAGAAGGGAAAAAGAGAGAAAGAGAGAAGAAGGAAAAAAGAGAGAGAGAGAGGTGACAGGATTTGTCTTTGTATACCCCTCTTTGTAAGGCTAACATTTCTCATTCTAAATATTGATGCATCTGAACTCCCGGCAGCTGGTAGGAAAATCTCATAATTTAATTGAAAAAAATAAAATAATCAGTTTGCGTTTGGTGCTTCTAGTTGACACCAAAGACATAGGCACTTCCTTTACGTTAACTTACGGCCAATTGTGGAAGCTAATGCTTTGAATTCACACATAACTTGGATATTTGCAGGGCCCCAAGCCTGCAAATAAATTACAGAAGAAAAAGGGTATTATTGCATTATAAATAAATAAATTACACAAGTGGTCAGTCCATTGATTCTTTTCAGCCAAAAATGTCATGCAAAATGAGTTTTAACACTGAAGATGCGGCGGTCACTGTAACATATTTTCTTATATTATAGAAATACAATTATACTTTTCGGCCATTGATTATCAACCCAGGTGGCCGATTCGGCCAGGTGCTTATTACTAACGCAAATCATGACAAAACCCATCTGTTGATAGATTAGATAACAATATAAGCCAGCACTCCTATTTAAATGAAAGTAAAAAACAGTCACAGAAATGGGTTTCTTTCTTAAATGAGTTTTTTAGGAAATTCCCTGAACATTCTATTTCCAATGCATTCTTCCATCAAACCAAAACGCGTACAGCTTTGATTAATTATCAGCTTACTGAACCAATAAAAAATGGTAGGCCTCAAATGGCGAAAACTCTAAAACACCCTTTTAAATTTTTAATTTCCTCGAAACAGAAAAAGAATTAATAATGTCCACTAGAACCAAAGACTTTGGTTTGGTTGGAGTTGGACAATGGTTTAAGCCTTGATAAATTGTGGATATCAACCACCAAACGTGGTCTTATTTACATATATGCTTTCTGATAAAGCACTCGCTCCAAGCCAAGAAACCGTGGCCTCTACTGTCTGTCTTCCACATTAATTACTCTCCTGTTAAAGACATTATTCTTTCCCCTGGCTCTAATTGAGAGTCATTTTTGACGGGTTGGAAAATGTTTTTGGCTTTTGGCTTTTGTACGGAAGTGCTTCTCTCAGCCTCGACGGTTGCCGTTTTAACAATAATCAAGACGGCTTTCTTTTTAATTTCAAATTTCAAATCAATTCCCCTTCTCCTAATCGTAATCACATACAACAACGAAACAAATTTGTCAAACTATTATTCTGTAAACACCTTTTTAATAAGGAAATCAAACGTGCTACCACGCGCCTCAATGGCGCGTTTCGATACCGATCGTCTCCGCAAATCTAGTAACACCAATGAAACTCTCAACGTGGAAAGATTGACTGGTCAACTCGTAGTCCCATCATTTCAGCCATTCATACACGTACAATAATAAGCGTGGATACAGAGAATCAATGCCCTTCTGATTACATAAACTTTTTGAAGAGAATCGACCGAATCTCGCTGTGCCAGAAAGCTAGCTCTCAGCCCCTTAAAATCTACAAATCTTCCTTTTATTTATTAAAAAACAAGAAATAAATAAAAAAGGCAGAAATTAGTGAAAAGTCTAAACAGAGAGATAGACACAACACGTAGTGGAATTTGGTCCGTGCAAGAAACGAAGGACAAAGAGAAGAACACGATGCTTATATTATTCTCTTCGAATTCTCTCTATTTTGGCTGCTGAATTTCGCCGATAAATTGATTCTTTATCTCTTTTCTTTTCTTCTCGTTTCTTTGCAATGTCGGTCGAAACGTCGTCGTCTAGCTTCACTCTCGAGGGAATCAGCGATGTCGATGACTACATTTGGGTGAGTTTTCCCTTGATTTTATTTTTTCGGTTTTCCAAGTGTTTGGACGCTGAGAAAGTGCGGGAAAGTTTAAGATGTCAACTTCTGGAATGGTAGGATGTTTAGTTTGGGTTGAAAGTGATTCGTTAGTTATTTTAAGAAGTTGTAGTGAATAATGTGAAAGTCTTGAGTCTTGGATTTTGCATTGTATTGGTTTTACTTTATTTTGTAATTGTTCCTTTGAAATGTATTGCGTGGAGAGGAAGATATTGAGTTCTTATTTTCTTTTCTTGTGTTTTCTTAGAAGCCAAACAGTCTTTACACGTTTTTTGCCTTCAAATTTTTTGGTTTCTTTGTTAGCTTAGAGAACTTGTGAAAAGACAAGGATTTGAGTTTGGTTGCTTTCATTTGTTTTCTGTTTTTTCTTTTTGTTTGCGGAGAAATCCGGGAGATCAAAAAATAATCTGAACTTTGATTTTTGTACTTTTTCTTGTTTAAATTTCCTTTTCTATTTTTCTACTTGTTCTTTTCGCTAATTTTATTGATGAAGACTATAATTTACGTAGTTCATGCTGATTATCTGCAAAAAAAAATTTGATTGATACTGTTTGCCTTTCTGTTACAATGATTTTGAAAATAAGTGGATGGTTTAGAAGCTTCACTGGCAACTTCTGCAGCTAAAGAAAATTTACAACATGTTTTTATTGAATTGCCATTTTTTTAATAACTGGATTATGGTAGCCAAGTGAATTTCCTTGTTTTTGTCACTTCAAATGAAGAATGTGAAACAATGAAAAACTTGTTTTTTTGGTTATTTACTGCTTTCCCAAGAGCTGAATGGAGTGCCGAGTGCCTATAACTTGTTATGATTAATAGTGCTTAGTATTATTAATTTATGACTGTCTGGAAATATGACGAGTAAATGTCAATAAAAAATGCAGGCAAATGAAGGAGAGGGATCGTTGCCATGGGACAGATACAGTCATGTTTTTGATTTGGTAAGAAATGGAAACTGTGCATTCCGAGAGAGTTGTTTTGAACAGGTGAGGTTTTGACTTCTAATGCAGTCTATACGGTTTTTTATTCCTGTTCTTGGCCTTCCTCTCAGTATCATATAGATGCTTCTGTTATTGTGGTAATTTCGTACAGAAAACTCAAAAAGATATGAGAAGCAGGTCACAGAGTCTAGTACCTCGCAATGCAAGATTAAGATTAGTTCTGTCCAAATATGTCAAGAATTTTTTGATGTGGTTGTACTTTTTCCCTTTTCAATTTTAGGTTGCTTTTATTTGTATAGTATCTTTAAATAATTAATTTGTAGTCAATTATATATCTATTCTATTATTATTTATTTATTTTTGTTTTATTTTTAGTTGCAGTCCAAAATGGCTTGGATGGACTAGATGAGCTGTATAATGTTAACTTATTGACTTTGGGGTATCTCAGTATTTTTGTTAGAGCTTAAATGTTTTCAAGCTTTTACCTGTAAGCATCAATTTTTGGAATTAATGGTTAAGGTTGATCAAGAAATCTCATGTACGAATCCTTCATTACATTATTTAAATAGTGTCTGTGTTTGATTCATGTGCCATGTATGTGAGAGGATGTCTTAGATCTTAATACAATTGTTGGGTCCTACCTATAAGTTTCAGCTTTTGAGATTAGTGGTCACTTAACAATTTCTGCTGCCAAGGAGTAATAGTATGTTTTAAATTAAGTGCCTTTCCATAACCATGTGAAAATGGAAATCATCAACTCCTCTTTGTTATAAATTCCCATAGTGATCTGATCTGTGGTTATACACCACCCTGACTTGAGGTTGCCCTTCTGCCTTCAACTGGCTATGCTCTGACCTGAGTTTCCTTCTCAATGGCTTTCTCATTTTGTAACCCAAGCCTTGAATGTGAATTTGGCTCTAACATCATATGATGTGCACTAATTAGTAGGCTAGTTATAAATTATGTCATGTTAAACTCCAAGTATTCTTCTAGTTGTGTGGAATGTTTTAATATTACTGAGTATGGGTACTATTACTAATTATTTAAGTGCTTTTACACTGTCCTAGTTTAGATCAAGAGATGAACCACATGGAAGTGCATTTGAGATCTACTTTTTCTTCTTTGGTTCATCTCTGAAACTACAGTTTTTGTGGTCTTAGGATTAGTAGTACTTCAATTACAGTTCAACTTTTAGAGCTTTTTGTTGGCAACTGTTTCACACCTAGATAGATATCTATACCCATGTGATGTTTTCTTAGAAATTAAAGTGTTAACGTATATGTGGCTTTAGGGTCATAAGTCTGTCCAGTAAGAGCTTTAGAACAACTTGATGTGGTTGGACCTATCTAGTTTGGTATTTACGAGATTTTAGAGTTTCGATTGGATTTTTCTTCCTTTTTAGCCTTTTCATTTCGTAGATATCCAAGTTTTTAGTAACTTAGTGTGTTTGGGGTGGTCAGGGAGATGTCAATCTGAGAATCTAAAAGGGTTAGGAAGAGAAGCAGACAACAATTGTTGTTATGTTTACTCTTTAAGAGGTAATGCCACATAAAATGTGCTTTGATGATCAACAGAGTTACTGAATATTGAATATCCTCATGCTAATTTGTTTGGATACAGTCATCAAGATCTAGACAAATTTTTTTCTTCTCTCTAAATGTGTTTTTCTCACTGTTCATTTTTTAACCTTAGTTAGCATATTTAGGCTTCATTCTTTTTGCTGTAGGAAATATTCAGTTGCAATCTTTATGTGGAATTATGAGCTATTTGGTTACTAGAATGAATATCAGAATTTAGCGACGGTGACTTTGACATGAATGGCTAGATGCATTTAAGACTAGATTTTGTTAGTATCACTTGTAAGATATCAAGCTAAAAGTCTTTCTTTTTGAATAATTTGTCATGGTATCAATTTCGTTTTTTCCTTTCTTACACAAGTTACTGATTTTGCATTAAATTAAGCTACAGCTGAAAGTTTTCAAATTCTGAGCTACTTTTTTTCACAACACATGCTTTAGTTTGTTCTACCCATTCATTAAAATTCAATGCAAATAGTCTTGGTAGTCCTGTCTTTCTGGAGTAGGTTTTCATTGTGCCAACTTGGTGGCATGGCTTTAGTGCAGGGCTTGTAGTTTATAGTTATCAATGTTTTACCATTAACACTTCTATATGCTTAGACTTATGATTGATGCAGTCTTGATTTGTTCCTGTAGCTGTTAGATTTGGGATGTAAATGGTGTGTATGATTTATTATATTTTAATCTTTGGCAATGCTTAATAAGAAGGATATGGTAGCTTTTCAATTTTTTGAGTTTTCTGATCAAGTTCTTTCTGGTGATATTGTGATGAAACAAGAGAGATGAGCGTGTATGGAATGAGAGGTAAGGGAGCTGGCAGAGGATAAAAGGGAGTTGGCAGGAAAGTTCAGATTGTATACAAGTGTTGAGGAATGTGTTGGGCAGGGACAGATGGCATTTCTTGGTTGGTCAGGAGGGAAATTTGGCTATGGAAAGAGAATGAGCTGGAGAAGAAAAGAGAAGAAAAGAAGGGGACTGTTATAGGAAAATGGGGAGGAGCTGGCCCTCAAAGTCCAGCACTATCTGGGTTTCTTTTGTTTTAGTCTTGGTTGTTCAATTGATTGTGTAGTGGGTAGTTTTGCTAGTTCATTTGTGTAGTTTGCTTGCTGGAATATCAATGCAAGTGACTGTTATTTTCTGGGTTTTGGCTACTGTTTGCTGATATTTTGCTGGTTTATCTTGCTTGTTGTTGTTTGCTGTTCATATTGTGGTTGGTTGAGTTGGTAGAGAATGCTAACATATTGTTTCTTGGTTTCCTTCTACAACTGAAAGAATGGTTGCATGTTATGTGACTTCTTAATCTTTTTAGTTTAACTTGACTGTAAAGCACTTCAACTAGGCAATTATGGTAATGGCTAATTTATTGAGTTTTTTGTTCAGGCAATCAATAATTACTCAAGAGCCAATAACATCAAACCCAATGATCCTATTATTCTGGGAAACAGATGTTCTACTTATATTAGGTTTCTTCTTTTCCCATTGGTTATTGTTGTTCTTTCTTGATTTCTACGATGCCATTTCTTGTTAGATTTAATGATCACTTAACCATCTTATAGATTGTTTTGGATCTAATTTTCCATTATTCTGATGAAACTGGATCATGAATATGTCATCTTTTATCCAGGATTAGTCAATTCTTGAAGCACAGACCTCCATCAGCTTCTGAGTCTAGACCATTGAATGGACTGGATCCAATGACACATGCTGAGGTAGGTCTTCTTGCTTCATTTATATAATAAAAAGCAGGTTTTATTTATTTATTTCTTGGTAAAGGAAAAAAATGTTGTGCAATTATTTCAGCTTGCTTTAAAGGATGCTGAGAAGCTACTGAACCTCCAGAGTAATTTAGTAAAATCATACATACTAAAGGCCAATGCCCTCATTTTGGTAAGAATAAGTTGCCATTTGTTTTCTTCATATATAACTGGAGCTCAGCTAAAGATTCTTGGGAACCTCTCTTTCTGTGGCTTTGTCACTTGTGTACTGTATTTGCATTTGTGCCCGTAGTTTGCACTTCTGTGTGCATGTTTGTGTGAAGAATCTAAGCCCAAATTTAGCCAGTTCAGCTAAAATACATGCTACATCAACCAAGTCTGAGTTATGAGTTAGGTTTAGCTTGGCGAGGATGATATTGGTAGGGAAAATCTGCCCAAAAAGGCTTTCAGGAAAACTAAAGTTGAAAATAATCAATTTAATGGTGAAATGAGTAAACAGATTTTAGAAAGAGGTGATGTTGTGCAAGGAGGATGTTGTACATGGTAAGGGAAGAGAGGATCAGAGGCAATGAGTGACAAAGATGTAAGATCAATTGGATTTAAGATTAGCTATTTCACATTTAGGGCATGATATTGTATATGGATAGATTTTTAACCTACTTACTAAAATATCAAACATCTGGTTTATATGCTAGGTTTAGCATACTTAAAATAAAGACATATAATTTAAATAAATGCATATAATTAAAGTATTATAAAACATAGGTTGGATTCAGGTTGTTTTGATTCTGGTTGCTTCAAACCTGGTGTAGCCAGATATCTGTCAGGCTGGAACTTCTCTTTCCAAGCAAACCAAGCTTGAATACTACCAAACCATAACTTGCTTGATTGTAGGGTGGCTATTCCAATTTGTAACTATGTTTGTCTGCATACTATGGGTGTGTATATATTTGTGTGTTTGTGTATATTAACATTTTTACATAAGACAGCTTTTTTTTGAATTTGCAGTTGGAAAAATATGAGATGGCCCGGGATGTAATTCTTTCAGGTCTTCAAGTTGATCCTTTTAGGTAATGTAATAGTTAATTCACCGACTTGTTCATTTATTTATCTATTTCCAAAATTTTGAAAGTGATGGAAATTCTTTTATCCCCTTTATTTGTTTAATAATTATTTGCTCAAGACAGTTCTATTGATGATTTTTTTTTTTTTTTGCATTTTTTCTTGCTAATATGTAGCGAGTCTCTCCAGGCTTCTCTGCAGAATTTGGAGAGGACTACAGTCAGTTTGATAGGGAGGAGAAATCATGGAAGACCTGATCGTACAGATGATTTTGATTGCACACTGTGTCTGAAGTTATTGTATGAACCTATCACAACTCCTTGTGGGCATTCCTTTTGCCGATCATGTCTGTTTCAGTCGATGGATCGCGGTATTATTCTGGATTTGATGATTTTGTTTTTATTAATGCATTTAAATCACTTAATTCTTTTCTGATCTTGTAATTTAAATGATAGGTAACAAATGTCCATTGTGCCGGACAGTTCTCTTTATTAGTCCTAGGACGTGTGCAATCAGGTGAGTTGCTCACATGATAACATTGTACTGAATTCTTGTGTCAGAAGTTTGTGGTATCTGGAGTGTAATTTGGGAATGAGTTCAGCCCCCCAATCGATTCTGTTTACATAAATACTTGTCCGAAAGGATTTGCTAGTGGGTTTTACCTAGAAGATCTAGGTGCATATAGAATGACTAATGCATAACGGTGGCATTTAATTTGTTCTGACACTGCTTTTTCTATTATATGTGACTGTGGGAAGGAGCACAATGATAAAACAATCCAAACTTTAGGATACTAACTGAGATCATCTTTTTTATGAGCCCTCATAATTTTAGTCATGTTCTCCATTCATGCAATGGTTGGGATGATGTGTAAATCAGTGAGCATGGAAGCTATATTCTTCTTTCCATAGTTACTCTTTTGCTGTAATTTCTTGCACAAACTTTCAAAGGTCCTGTGTATTACACTTTGATTTATTTATTTTTTCTACCATTATAATACATTTATTTGGCTTGTACCAGTGTGACACTAAAGAACATTATAGAAAAGAATTTCCCAGAAGAATATGCTGAAAGGAAGGCAGAGCATGATAGTTTAAGTAACTTTGGTGTTGATTTGATACCTCTCTTTGTTATGGATGTTGTCATCCCATGTCAAAAGTTTCCTCTCCACATTTTTGAACCTCGGTACAGACTTATGGTGAGTTGGTTAGTCTTTTGCTAATTTAACAGCTGAATGTCATGCATTATTTTGATAAATTCAGAAAGGTGGCATTTTTTTTTTTATTTCCTTGTTGCAAGTAATTTTGGTTAACCTTTTTGTACTTGAACGATAGGTGAGGCGAGTAATGGAAGGTAATCATCGAATGGGAATGGTAACTTTTTTCACTAGCCCTTTTATTTTCCTTTTTTACAATAAGGTGTGTCGGCTATACCAGATATCCCCCACTGTTGACGTGGTTTGTCTGTTAATTCTGTAGGTCATTATTGATCCCACCACAGGTTCTATAGCTGATTTTGCTTGTGAAGTGGAGATTACTGAGTACGTGTTCAATCCCTTTTCCTTTTCCTCTTTCTGTAATACATTTATTTGATCAACATATATTTTATTATGATACTTAATTATGTGTTTTTCTGCTAAATTATAATTTTTTTTTCTTCTGTACATTCTCTTTCATCTTAATTCAGGTGTGAGCCACTTCCGGATGGACGGTTTCTTCTTGAGGTGAAATATGATTCCTGAATGCTATATCCCTTTTATACCCCGACTTGAAGAAGCAGTCTCTTGTTTTTCCTTCTCTATCCTTATGGACATTGGTACAAATTTCATGCAGATTGAAAGTTGCCGGAGGTTTCGAATTCTTCGATCTTGGGATCAAGATGGGTGAGTGCTAGGATCAGTGCCTTTAACGTATTTGCTACACCCTTGGCATAAATATCATCCAAGCTACTTGGTTTGTTGGTTAGGTTTTATGCCTTACAATTTTATGTGCAGGTATCGGGCAGCAGAGGTTGAATGGTTGCAGGATATAAATCCAGAAGGAGCAGAAGCCAGAGCAGATGTAAGTTTGCCATTATTTTGGAAATTTTATTTCATTATTAAATTCTTTTTTTTTTTTGCCCTTCAAATAAACTCTAAAGGATATAGAAAAACTTTAGGTATGAGTAGGGCATCGATAGACTTTAAAGTGAAGATTATACTTGGTGATACATGTTACTGATGCTCAACATTTTCCTGAGGATTAATTATGCATCAATCTTCTAGTGTAGGAATTGCATTTGCATAGATACATTTACTACATGCACAGACACTTGTTTGACATTCCAAAATGCTTTGAGGTTGCTGTTTTTAGTCTCTAATATTTAACTATAGTATAGTGCCAATACCACTTGATGGTAAAAGAACTAACATGGGATAGATATGTATTAATAAACTAGAATAAATGCAGATAAATCTTTTTATTTTAACACATTATATTCAAGTAGCTAGTTGTTATTCAATGAGGCTACTAAGTTCTGATTGCTCTGACCAATTAATGCATTAGTTTGGATAGATGTAAATATTAATGTAGGTTTTTCACCATATCCTTGTTTTGCTGATCCCTTCCCGAATCTGGATGCTTACAGTTACAGGAAATGACCAACAATGCAGCAGGATATGCACAGTTATGGTTAAGGAGGGAAAAAGAAGCTGCACGACAAGGTAAAATTCCAAGGCAGGATACTGTCAGTGTCAGGATGTGCACATTCTGTTTGTTGTTGGTTGTCCAATTTATGTCAACCTGATTAATTTTAGGGAGGATTCTATCCACTGGATAGTATTTTTGATATGCATATATGGCTAAAGTTAACATCATTTTATGTCATATTGGGATGATTAGGAATATTCAAAGTATTTTATATTTGATCTTTATTCCACAGATTTTTTTTTTTTTTTTTTTTTTTTTTTGGTGAAATTGAATTTTCAGAAAATATTTTGGTACATTTTCCTTCATTATTGCAATTTATGAAAAAATAATTAATAGAAAAGCAAGTTTAAATATCTATAGCTGTAAAATCTTGTAATTTTTTTTTTTGAATGAGCTCAGGCCTTCCTGCCACCAGTTAGCTAGTTTCACTGACTGGCTCACCTTGTTCGCATTAAATATTATTCAGTTTTGACTCACTTATTTGATGTATCTCACCGCCAGGAAATAACTATTTGTGATTATAATTTGAGTGCTTGAAATCTCTATGTGCTCATGTATATAGTTTTCCATTGCCCAGACATGAGTGAATCTATCTGTTCTCTCTCTTCATGTTGTTTCTTTGTGAGTGTTATGTTGAGATAAGATGGTTAATATGTGTGTAGATCGAAGAAGGCTCGAGAAACTCCTTAATGTAGAAGTGATGATGCCCAATCCACAAGATCCCGAGCGCTTTAGTTTCTGGGTACCTTAACCCTTATAATATGTACTAATCTTATGATGGATGTCATTTAGACTTTTTCATGACGGCTATCTCTTGGATGCAGCTTGCTACGTTATCAGATCGGAGACCTTCAGAAAGACTAGAACTCCTGCGCATTAGAGATACAAGGGAGGTAATGAACCAAACTAAAAATCATTTAGCAATTTATGAGTGTGTTTCCAAGTCATCTGGATGGGTTTTAACATCTATCAATTGAATTCTGCTGTTTGTGAAACGGATGAAATAGATTCTTGTTTTATTTAGGATGATATTTCCTTTTTATTGAGTCTGGCTTAAAGAATTGTGGGTGGATATCATCATGTGAACTGTAGAAGGAAAAGAGGCAAATAGGGCAAAAGAATGCCTAGGCAAATGACTGCTTTGGAAAAAAGTTACAAGAAGTTGCAAATCTCTTATGTAATTTCGTAAGACTAATACTTTTTGTGGTGAAATCCTCTGCGTAGAAACAAACCAAAATATTTTGTCATGTAACCATGCCATTAGTTTTTGAATAAATAAAGTTGACCAGTAGGATATACTATGTGAAAAAAATTACTTATTGCACTTGCTGCAACCGGTTTTACTGGCTGCTTTAGAAGAGTTTCTACTGGCATTCAAATATTTGTCATTTCTCTGTATTTAGTGTGGTAAAAACTCCATAGCATGGATGTTAGTACAACCAATCAACCATGGAATGCATGCGTGGCATACATTTTTGGTTGGGAAAAATCTCCGATTTAGTTTTTCTAACTAGTTTTAGTTTGAATGAATTTGCAGAGGTTGAGACGTGGACTGATATTTCTGAGAGCTGAAGAACAAGGGTGCAGAGTGCAGTGAGAAAGAGTAATTGTTTTCCCTGATTTTGTTTATAAGAAAAAAGAAAAATCAAGCAATTCAATATTCTTTGGATTTAAAAAGTATGAGAGGGGCATTCTTCCCGGTATAGAAACCCAAAGAGAAAAAAGAAAAAAAATTGCTGAGATAATACGTATAACTTGTAATATGTAAGAAAATGAGTTGTAATATGTTGCAAGTTGGTTATGTTATGTTAGGTAATGTAATGTAAAATGTATCATGCAGACTTTGTTCCTCTATTCTTTGGTCCACCTTGTGGATCCCTATATTTTTTGTTGTAACAGAAACACTTGTACACATATTCATCAATCAATCTATCGTTTTGGGGAAAGGTATTTGACACAACTGTTGCCTTCAGATGTTTGTTCCACTGAACCCCAAAATTATAAAAAAAATAAAAGAAATATGTTTGGATACTAATACTATATATCCATCGGCATGTTATTTGTTAGCTAACCATATTATATACATAAGCTATTTGGGGTTCAACGCGTTACTCGCAATTAGTTTAATTTTAACTTTAATTATCATTTTATCAAAACCAATGCACCCATGAGGTTTGATTTCAGTTAACGGAAACTCAGAAAAATTTTAAAATTACAAAATCATCCTTTTTTCCCCTAAAAGACTTAAATATCCCTATCACTTTTATAATTTACTATAATTTTTATTAAATGTGCATGTATTTAATTTGATTTGTGTGTTTGAATTGAAGGTGAGATTTGAAAGATGATAATGGATTTCATTTAGGAATTTGTAAAAAATTAAAAATTTAATAAAATCCATTGTTAATATTATCTTCCAAAATCTCAGCTTCAAGCACACAAATCGATCTATACACATGAAAATTTAATAAAAACACATTATATATCAAATTCAAATGCTAAACTTAGAAATGATAAGGGTATTTTAGTCCTTCAAGTAATATTTTGGGTGGATTTGTCACTTTCAGAATTCTTTGGGTGTATTTGTAATCAAACATCATGAATGAATTTGTTTTAATCTCCAACCCATCATCGTCATCAAATTCCTTTGAGTTTTAACATTCATCTCTGCACGTCCTTCCTTACTTGCACCCAACTATCTTCTCCATTTCTCTAACTTCTAAACCATTTTAGTACGTCCAAATCCCTCCGAATCCCACGTTCAGTTACTCTTTCTTCTCCCCCACAAACTCCTCCTTTGTCCATGTCCACCATGTCTCTTTTCCACCTTCCCCATTTCCATTTCCATTTCCCATAACTATTAACTCACTATCATGAAGGGAGGAGGAGAGAGCCCTACTTCCTTATTTCTTTTCCTTTCCCTCCTCCTTTTATTCCATTTTCCACCCTTCACTTCTTCTAAAAAATACACTCCTCCTGACAATTATCTCATCGATTGTGGCTCCACTCGACCCACCAAGCTTGATGATGGCCGTACCTTCAAGTCCGATCATGACGCTTCTGGTTATCTCTCCACAGAAGAAGATATTGAAGTTTCTGTCGATTCCATTCCTATTCCTAATGCTCTTCCTTTATATCTTTCCGCTAGGATCTTTCAACAGGAATCCAGGTATACTTTTTTCATTTCTCAACCTGGTAGACATTGGGTTCGTCTCTACTTTCACCCGCTTCCTCACCCTTCTATCAATCTCACCAGTGCCGTTTTCACCCTCCAGACTGATAAATTTGTTCTCTTACATGACTTCTCTATGAGGAGCAACTCTGAAATTGTTTTCAAGGAATATCTCATTAACACTACCGAGAGATTCTCCATTGTTTTCAAGCCCAAAAAGGATTCCCATGCATTTGTCAATGCTATTGAAGTTGTTTCGGCTCCTGACTCTCTTATTTCCGATTCAGCAACCGTCGTTTCGCCTCCGGATACTATCACTGGCTTGTCTAACTTCGCCCTTGAAGTATCCTACAGGCTGAATGTTGGCGGGTCAACTATAACTCCCAGAAATGATACATTGTCAAGAACATGGCTACCTGATGTTCCTTACAATATTTTCCCAGAAGGCGCTGAAACTGCCTCTGTTGAACCCGGAGTCATCAACTATCCAGGGGGTGGTGCAACTCCGTTCATCGCCCCGAATTCGGTTTATGCAACCGCGGAAACCATGAAGCATGCTCAAGTGATGCAACCCAATTTCAATCTCACTTGGAAGATGAGTGTTGATCCCACTTTTTCTTATTTGATTAGAATGCATTTTTGTGACATCATTAGCACCAGCCTCAATGACTTGGTCTTTAATGTTTACATAAACGGGTTGATGGGTGTGTCATACCTTGATCTCTCAACACTTACTAATGAACTCGCCACAGCATACTATAAAGATTTTGTGGTGAATGCATCCACCATAAGAAATGGTTCGATCATTGTCCAGGTTGGCCCTGCTAGCAATCTCGAGTCAGGCCAGCGTAATGCAATTCTTAATGGACTAGAGGTCATGAAGATAAGCAATGAAGCGGGGAGCTTGAATGGTTTATTTGATGTAGGTGGTTCGTATAAAGGAGGTTATCTTTCAAATAAATTGAAGATTCTAGCAGGCGTTGCACTTGCGGCGGGATTGACAGCAATGCTGTTTCTGGGTGTAGTTTTCATCCGGAGGCTAAAGAAGCCTCACGGTTATGAGAAACGACACAGCTTCTCATCATGGCTACTTCCTCTACACGGTAGCCATAATAGCTTCTTGTCCAGCAAGAGCAGCTCGCGGAAGTCTAGTCTCTTTGGCTCCCGCAAGAGTAAGACTGCTGGTTACCCTGGTTGCTTCTCTAATCAAGGTCTTGGTCGGTTTTTTACTTTCCATGAACTACAGAATGCAACACAAAATTTCGATGAAAAGGCAGTGATTGGTGTTGGTGGGTTCGGCAAAGTTTATCTTGGAGAATTGGAAGGTGGAACCAAGGTTGCTATAAAACGTGGAAATCCAAGCTCTGAACAGGGCTTAAACGAGTTCCAGACAGAGATACAATTGCTATCCAAGCTCAGGCATCGCCATCTCGTATCGCTTATCGGCTTCTGTGATGAACAATCAGAGATGATTCTCGTTTATGAGTACATGGCTAATGGTCCTCTTCGTGACCATCTCTATGGCTCCACTCTACCTACATTATCCTGGAAAAAGAGGCTTGAAATTTGCATTGGTGCAGCCCGCGGATTGCATTATCTGCACACTGGTGCAACTCATGGAATCATCCACCGTGATGTGAAGACCACCAATATTCTTCTTGATGAGAATTGGGTTGCTAAAGTTGCCGACTTTGGTCTATCCAAAGCTGCACCAATGGAGCAAGCCCATGTGAGCACCGCCGTGAAGGGTAGCTTCGGCTACCTTGATCCTGAATACTTCAGGAGGCAACAACTCACTGATAAATCAGATGTTTACTCTTTTGGCGTAGTTCTGTTTGAGGTGTTGTGCGCGAGGCCTGTCATAAACCCAAAGCTACCAAGAGAGCAGGTCTGTTTAGCCGAGTGGGCAATGAATTGCTACAGAAAAGGCACACTTGATAAGATAATTGATCCCAATATTGCCGAGAGTATTTCCTCAGAATCTTTGAAAAAATATATCGAAGCTGCTGAGAAATGTCTAGCCGAATTCGGCGTAGATAGGCCTGGAATGGGAGATGTGTTGTGGAACTTAGAATATGCCTTGCAGCTTCAAGAGGCTGCAACACAAATTGATCCTCCAGATAAGACATGTCTCATTGCTCTGGACGAACCAAATGGTAAAAACTTAAAAGAGGACCTTGAAGCTGCAGCTGTTAATGACAATTCTCAAGTAGAAGTTGCTTCAACTGTATTTTCTCCGCTTGGCACTGTTCAGGGAAGGTAGAATAATCAGTCCATTCAAGTTTAGCGAAGTGAATAATAATCCCATCTAGGTTATAGGGAACCATGTATGAGATGCATTTGGTGTTTAATTTACTTTGTGCTTGGAAATTTTTAGTTTTAAGTTCCAAGGTGATTCCCAGAATCATCAGTGTTGCAGCTTTGTAGTTTGCAGCTCATCACTATCAGCCTATATTTCAACAGTGTATTTGGATGTTTGTAGATTTGTTGTTGTATTAGTGACTTTTCATTTTTCCCATTTGGTTTTGGTGTCTGTCAATATTGATGATTATTTAGCCAGAAAATCAACACTACCAGCTTGGTACCACAAGATTCCTTAAATTTAGGCTATTAAGTGATACACTGATAATTAAATATAATTTCGAAAACCTCTTACATCTTATAAAACACTGGAAAGCCATAAGCCTTTTGATCGACACCTTTGCATCCAAATTAAGTCCTTCCTTACAGATATACAATGTTCAGCTTGTCAAAATTTTCCCACCTTAACTTTGCACATGGAGCAAGGGGCTCTATCATCCTATCAAATGCAATATCGTGAGATTCAGTTAAAAAAGATACTCTCTAAAATATTATGAAAAAATATTAGAGAGTTGTACAAATACATGCATGGCTGTCGTTTCCAAGAAAACTAATCGTTGTAAATAAAATGTTTATAAGACATGTTTATGTAGTTATTGAAAACATTGTGTATATCACCGCAAGGATGGAATCGAACAAAACATGAGATGCTTAGACATGAAGTAGTCTTTTCAGAGGAAAACATACAAATAAATGAACCCGAAGATGGTACAAGCTACATATACATTTAGAGGAAGCTTACATACTGGAGAATGGTGTGATGAATCTGTGCTTGAAAATATTTGTGACGAGCATGCAAGGCCGAGTCTGAAGCAGAATGGAGCTATCAATCCTTGAAGAAGAAACCAATCCTTCCTATGATGCATAGGAACTAAAATGGGAATCGTGTTTGGGTTTAAGGAAGCATGCTGCTTGTGACTAGAGGAAGAGCACAAGTAGTTATGAGGAACAGATAGAAGACCAATATTTGCTCTCCAGAACCGCAGTTCAAACTGAATATGGTGATGTCTAGCCTATCAATAACACTAGCACTCTGGCCTCACAGAGTTCCTGACATTGGAAAGCCCATCCATATACCTATTATAGGTAGCAAGATCTGGTATAAATCCTTCATCTAACATCTCAACCACTAGCTTTTCCCCCTCCTTCCTTCTATTCTCTCTTGCATACCCATATATTAGAGTATGATATGTAATCTCATCTGCATCCAAACCCTTTTGATAGGCCAATAATCTTAATCTATTAGCATCCATTGTTCTTCCCACATTACAAAGATCTTTAAGAAGACAATTAAAAGTCACACTATCTGGAACAATACCCTCTTTAAGCATCTTTTCCATTACTCCAAATGCCTGTTCTGTTTTCCTCAACCTTCTCAAACCTTCGATTAAGGTAGTACAAGCAATTTCGCTTGGCAAATTTCCATTATTCCACAACTTATCCACAATTTCTAAGGCTCTAGTTGCATTTCCTTCCTCACAAAGCTTCTCCACAAAACCAAAATAATCAAAATCCTTGGGGAAAACCCTTCTCGTCAATAAATCAATCACCAATTCACATGCCCTTGAAATTCTCCCTTCCCTACACAATCCATCAACTAAAATTTCACAAGTCACACTTGAAAACACACACCCTAGTTCAATCATCTCATATGCCATCTTAATACCATCCTCAAATTTCCTTTCCCTAAAAAACCCTTTAATCAAAGTATTGAAACTAACAACATTGGGATTACATCCTTTTTCTTTCATCTCCCTAAACAACAACAAAGCCAAATCAAATTTCTTATTCTTACAATAACTGCTAATCAAAATATTAAATGTAACCACGTCAGGCTTAACCTTATTTTTCAACATCCTGTCATAAAACTCCAGAGCTATATTATACTCCCCACATTTTACAAAGCCATTTATCAAGGCATTATAAGTACTCACACTAGGTCTCCCATCAATCAACTTCCTCATAGATTCGAATGCCATAATCCCATCATCCAATCTCTTAGCTTTACAAAACGCATTAATAGCAACAAGAAATATAGATTCAATTTGAGGACAAGAGAAAATACCATCATCAGAACAAGGGCAGGGATTTGTGGAGATAAAAGCAAGAAGGGATTGAAGTTCAGAGAATCGATAAGAAGAGGCAAGGGAGCAGACCATGAAAAAAAAGGTGGCATGATCATGGCGGAAGGAATCAAGAGTGGAGGCCCAAGTGAAGATGTGAAAGTCATAATGGGTGAAGCGAGGGTGGTGGTGCAGCTTGGATTTGAGAAAGTGAAGGAGCGAGGCAGGAGTTATGTGGTTGTTATGAGGGGTTAAAAAATAGGTTTTGATGAAGTTAAAAAAGTGGTTGTGCTGAGAAGTGGGGGTTAGAGTGACAGAAGGAAGTGGAGTTAATTGTGGATTTGGCAGTGGATTGGACAGCAATGGTGTCGGCCTGAGAATTGTTGGCACTTTCTTCCTCAAAACCATTTTGAAAGAGAGCCAATGGACCTGTCTCGGTGAGGATAAATTTCAACAGCGTCACAAGATAATTAATCATCAAAAAACATCCCTACAATTAGTAAAGTTGATAAGAAAACACATTTCTAAATATCCCTGCAATTAGTAAGAGAGGGTATTGGTAGTGCGCCACATCCTTCAATTGCTTAGGTCAACTGCAAGATCGATACAACCGAAAACAAAAACAAGAAAGTGTTTTGAGATTGGAAATAAAATACTAGTAGAGATGAAATGAAACAGAAGGAAATCGTACCATTTTTCAACCCAGGGTTGCGAACTCTGCAACATTTCTTTTCTCTTTCTGTAAAGCTAGGATTTTCTGTCATTTTTCGCGCTTCTGTGAATTGAACACTGGGTCTTTCTGGGCTTTTGTGATGATTTCTAGGTTATTTGTTTACCGTATATGGTAGTAATGAATTTTGAATTTTCTCAGTTTTATGTTACACTTAATTTACGGTAATTTTCAAGGATCTCTTTTTTCTTATAATTTCAAAAATAACATAAATCTTTCTATTATTTATATGACATTTAAATTTTATAATATAAAGATAAATAAATATTTATCTAATAATAATACTACATATATAAAATTTATAATTTATAATATACAGATAAAAAGTAACATTTATTGGGTTTACTATTACCGTTTACTTAAAACTCCTTTATCGTTAATTTTATCACTAAAGAATTATTATTATTATAATTATAAGAGATATTCTTTTAATTATATAAGGAGAATTATTTTTATTGATCCATTTAATTAATTTACTTATTATTTATAAGAAAATGTTTTTTTTTTGGGACCTCCTAAAGTTTAATTAAATAACAAAACCACATACAATTCTAAAATAAAAAATAAAAAATTACTATTAATAAGCCATTAATGTGTCGATTATATTCATATTATGATATATTAATAAATATTTATTTTAACAATAAAAATTAGTGATTGAAAAATTATTACTAATTATGAAAAGGATTTTTGTTATTTAAAGATACTAAAAGTGAGTATTTACTTTTATTTAAATAAAATAATATTATGTTTATTCACAAAATTATTAATTATTCTATTATTCTTTGTTAAAATTAATATTATATCCATACTATGTTTTATATAGTAGTAAGGTTGTGAGTTCGTTATTATTGATTTAAATGGACTCTGTTACGCGATTGGTCCAATCAATCGCCGATTGTACGGACGCTCATAAAAGAAAACAATTTAAGATAGATTTGATTGTTTCAGTCGACCTGCAGAGTTCCGCAGGTGTTTACAAAAGTGCTTCTGCAAAAGCAATTTATAAAACCACCACAACCACAACAGACAGAACAAAACAGCTACAAGCTGACCACTTTTCTGAAACAAACAGCTGAGTTGCGAAAATGTTACAAGACGATGAGATCTTAAAAGGCCTATTGGAACAACTACAAATCCCCCACAAAAATGAATCCAAAGAATCCCAATGGTAACAATAAGACACTCTCACTCCCTCCCCAACCCCAAAAACGACACTGAATCCTGCATTTTCCCTCCTGTTAACCACGAAAATCTCCAAATCCTATCACACAACAACAACCAACAACAACACCCATCATCGAAATCGTCGCCGCCGCGGCCGTCTTTGTCACTATCGCCGTGTGATTTGAGTTCTGAGAAGGTCGTCAACGGGTGGTTGGATTATGGGCTTGAGGTTTTACGCACCAAGATTTGTAGTTTCATTTCTTTGATTGGGAATAAAGACGGCGCGAGTAAAGGAGCGTTTTGGACATTCGGTAGAGTTGCGGGCATAGCCGTCGTGGTGATGTGGTGGTGGTGGTGGTTGTGCCGGCGGCGGCGGAAGCAGAGAGAAAGGGTAGAGCATTTGCAGCTGATCATCAAAGAGAAAGATGAGGTTAGGGTTAACTGGGTTATCACTATCTTTAAGAGTTCTATATAATGACTGATTAACGTGTTTGTGAAAATGCCACTTACAGAAAATAGTACTAATTGAGTTTTATCGTTAGCCATAAACATTCCATTAAATCAAACTGGACATTGAGTTCACTTTAAATATCGACTAACAATTTAGAGTCTTGCGACGCAATTTAGAAACTGAGCATTTTAATGGACTGTTGTGGTGTGCTTGTAGCTAATTGTATTACTTGATATTTGACAGAAAATTCTTCAACTATTGCGTCAAATTGCACAAATGAATGAGGTGCTGGTGGGCCGTCACAAAGTTCTGGCTTCGAAGGTGGGCAATTGATTAGACTAGGAGAAACAGTAGATAGCAATTCTTTGAGAAATCTTCTCCATTAGACACAACTCTGTTGCGTTATGTATTGTATTTGCACTGTAAATTGTAAGTATTTCTTAAGCCTGGTGGTGAAGTTTTCAGATGTAGTAACAAGTTAATGAGTATGTTAGCTTTTATAATTTCAACTTTCTGCCTTATTGGATTTGCATAATGGAGAATATAGATATACTGCTCAATGCCTCTTCTGCACGAAATCTTATACAATATTGCCCGACTTATAATGTTTGGTCATTTGGTTGGCACTAGTCTCCTTGATTCGTGGAGATTGCACAATAAAATAAGGAAATTGGTTTCACATGAAGGGAAAAATTTAGATCCAATTGATACTGTTAAAAATGTGACAGAATGAAGCCAGGCTGGATAATGTCAACGGTGCCAATTGCCGAAGAAAAAGAGATGGATCTGATGCCATGCTTTTTTATTTCAATGTAGGTGACTGGCTAAAGCCAAATTTTCTCTATACAATTTTCAGAAGTTCCCTATATATTTTACGGCTAAGTCCTCCCTGTAGTGTTCAGTAAGCTAACAGCAATCTTCAGAAAAGGATCAAAAATATTATTGTAAACATGAAAGAATAACTACTTAATCTGCAAAAATCTGAATTCTTCCCTGTAAACCAACAATGATGGTTAAAACTCAGGGTATCAACTATTATCTGTGTCGATTAAGTTACTATGTAGACAGATGCCATTTCCTTCTTTGAGAGAGATAATGAGAAGATTTGAACAAATATACATCACTATAAATAACTATGACATGGACGCTTTCATAAAGCACAACAGCATTTCTCCAATTCTCAACAGAAGAATATTTCTGAAACAAGAAAAAGATTAGAAAAAAAGTTATGGTACATGCCCATATGCTATAACTAGACAAGATACACTCAAAACAAGTAACCAACTTCTCATAAAAGGGAACCTTTCTCCATAGAAGCCTATAAAGATCTACCTGAACTTCCATGTCAAAAATGTTATAAACTTCAAAGAATTTCTTCCTTAAGTACTAGAGCAATCTTCCATGTAAATGCGTCTAAAAATTTAAACAGCCCCATTCCAGATCCTATGGGTTCAGCATTCTAGCATATATCATAAGAATTTGACAAGAACCTGATACAGTGTGGATCTGATAAATCTATCGACACATTCAAAATTGATTCATCGTTGGGCACAGGCATAAATAGACTGAGTGTTGTCAAAATGAAAGCTTACAAAAGTGAACTAAACACTTGTTGTACACTTATCACCAATACAAGTTCAACTGAAAAAACAGTATCCAAGAAACAGAAAAACCAAATTCTGGATTTTCAAAAGGTTGATTAACAATTGCAGCACTGCTTGTTTGAAGCAAGCTATCTTCACATCACAGTTGAATATGACAGAACTTCGAGACAGGACAAACAGGTAATTTTAAGGTATGGCCCAGGTCAATCTATTACGCACTGTGTATCAAAGTATGCTAAAGTAACATATACACAATTTTTATTCTAGTGCACCAGCAAAGGTGGATAGATCCATACATCGGGTGCAATAAAAACGCAAGGCATATCAAAGAAAAGCTTCAATTTGAACTAAAAATTTAAACTAACCACTTCAGCAAGACAGAATTTTCACTCTCTTAGCTTCATTACTGCAATTTTATCTTGTTACAAATTACTACAGAGCCAAAAATTTCAACATTTGAAAGATAGGAAATAAAAGCACAAAAGAAAAGAAGGACAAAAGGAACAAAACTGCAAGATTAGTGTAAATTTCTTTCATAAATTACTGAAAAACATCAGGAAGACAATAACGTCTATAAAGAATTGTACTCAGTTTGTTCTCAAAAGGAGCACCAAGACAATATTTCAAGCAAAACTTACTTAAATGTAAAAACTGTTAACAAATTTAAACTCTGATTTGTAACCGAGGAATTACATACCTACACACTATGACACATTGAATATGATGTTTCAGTTTCACTGTCCTAGCTCTGTACTCCACTCTTCTCATGAACTGGACGGCGAATATCAAACTGATCCACATAATCCAAAGGAGTAGCCGTCTCATTCCTGATCCTCTTAATCTTGGGACTCAACAATCCCCTATGACCAAATCCATATAGATTAAGAACTTGATTATCCGCGAAATTAAAAGCCCTCTCCATGCTCTTCAAGCACCTCTCAACTGGGTAATCCCCATAACTCCCACAAGGCTTGCAACCGACAAAATGAGTCACAAACGGCCACCTTTCATCACCTAAACCCGGATGGTATTTCTCCACCATCTCCTCATACCTATCAACCAACCCAGCCCAATACCCGTGCAAATAATACTGATTCTCAAGGAACACCTTATCAATCCACTTATCCTTCTGTGACAACAACAAGTAAATCAAAGCAGACTGATCATCTGCCTCAAAAGCCGGCCGCCCTTTCAAATTAGCCGTCAAAATCTTCCCAGCCTCCTCTCTTACCACTCCTTTTGGTCCCATCGGTGCCCAAGCATCAAGCAAATCCAACGACCACTGACAATTCCTAAACAAGAAACTTCCCGTATTCAACGCTATCCATGACTTCTGATCAAACATCAAATCAGGATACCCATGAACAACCAAGTTATAATTATCATACTTGGCAACAGGAATCTCAAACACCATATCAGTAAACATTGCATCACTATCCATCCACCAAATCCACTCGACTTCCGGATGAGACAACATCAACTTCCTAATCAATGGCAATTTCGCCCAATACCCAGCTAACTCTTTATCCAAATGAGCCATATTATAAACAATCTCAATCCCATGAATCCTACAATAATCTATCTTATTCTTTATACTCTTCAACAAGTAGTGGTCACCAATAGCATTATCACAAGGCTTAGGAGGCGATCCAGTAACTAACAAAATCCTCGGTTTTCCATTAACATAATTAGGAAACTCACCGTTTTGAGCAAGCCAAGCTTTCCGATCATTGTCCCAGGTGGAAATTTTCGGACCCAAAGTGTAGGTAATATTCGGGTTAAACTCGGACTCGGCCGGGTCTTCCGGGTCATTGGGGTCATTGTCCGAACGGATCTCTGCAAGGATTCGGTTTGTCTCTTCGATGAGGTTTTGATTAACAGCGTCAGCATCGGAACCCCCCAAATTCCCAACGCCAATAGTGCCACGTAGGACGAGGATCGTCACGAAGCCACAAAGGATAGTGATCTTAATGTTGTTGAAAGTCTTCTGGATCTGCCTGCCACGTGGCATTGCTCCACGTGCAGAGGTCCTTCCGTTGAGGGTGGTCGTAGGGAGAACGCCGCCGGCGCCGGAGACTCTCTTCTGAGGTGCGAAATGTTGTTCTTGACCCATCTGAAATATAAAACTTTTGTTCTCCCCTTGAAGAGGGAAAGAGAGAGAGAGATCTAATTTTACGTTTATTTTAATTGTTTCTTGCTGGAAAACGTTGAATTTTATTACATGAGTGATTTAGAAGGAAAGAGAAAGAGTTGAGTTAGTGTCTGAAAATGGGGTTTTGTCTTGTCTGTTGGAAAAGAAGTAAGAACCCTAGAAGAGTGAGATGGACATGGGAGGAGCGATGAAAGGGGAGAGAGTTTGAAAAAGACAGAAGAAAGGGAGGAGTGGAGAAAACATGTGTCCAAACACCGGCTGTTTAGGAAAAATGTATTTTTTATCCTAAACTTGCCGGATTTTAGATCATAAATAATATTTATTTAATATTAATACTAAAACATTAGGAAACGAATATTTATTTATTTATTTATTTTGTTCTTAGTCAAAAGAAACATCCAAGGCCCTAACAATGTCTTAATCAAAATTAGGTTTGATTTAGTGGGTGACAACCCAAGTACTCAAGTTATGTCAAAAGGAATTTAATTTTTAAAGGGTAAAACAAATTTTCATTACTATTACAGAAAAGTATCTCTTTCTAATGGGCTTTAACATGTTGATTCTGTGGTTCCAAATTGTAAGGAAAAAATATTGAATCATGTCAAGAGCACTTGTCACATAAAATTTAATCAATCACAAAATTTGAAGGGTTATTAAAAAAATAAATGCAGGGCCACACGCATTATGAACAAGTGGTAAACATGGGCTGTGACCCATTGGATCACGTCTTGATTCAACTTAATCTATGGCCATGCCCATGTGCAATGTGCCAGCTCCTAGATCTCTCATTAATTGAACCATTCAATTTTATAAGTTACGAACCGTGTCTGCTAAAGATTCCTACTACTACTTGGGCATTCTGTTTAGATAATCAACTCTCACGATCAAATAACCACTAATCACAACAATGTATTTTGTTCAGATCACGAGAGAATCCAGATCCAATTATAAGAAAGTTATCTAGAACTGGGTTGAAGTCAAATGGGGTATGGCAGAGGAGAAACCAACCAACAACCTGTCTGGATTTTTTTATCCTCGAGTGGAGGCTTTAGTGATCCATACTACTCACCAAGGGGCCTCTTTGCCTGTGATTTTTGAAGTACCCCACAAGCTGAAATGTTCTTCTATTTGTATTAAATTGATGTAAAAGTAGTTTTTCTGCCCGGCTTTCTTTTAAGTTTTATATTTCTACTTCACTTTTCTTCTTCCTGCATATTTAGTCACTCTGTTGTATTGGTATCAACACAATCTTTTCCATAACTCAACTGGTAGAAGCAATGATCAACCTAAAAGATGGATACCAAACTAGATTAGATATTATGTCACATCTCAGATCGTTAGCATTTAACAAAAGAAAGTATGAACTAGTTTACAAGATTTAGGCTGCCTCAATGCAAAAAATAATAATAATAAAATTTAAAAAAAAAAAAATGTTTTGTAGCCCGAACCTCAAGGAAGGATGAAACAATTGTGGAAGGTTTTTACATATGAGGCTGCCAGTTGAGGTAATATCCCCAATTACATTAAACCCAGATGCCAAAACTGGGAGACAATTACATCTATTCTTGAAAGTGAGTGCTTGTCGTATGTGATGACTCATTATGCACACTGTAGCACAAATAGAAAGAAAAAGAGATCTTTTCTTGGCAACCGACAAGAATATTATATATGCATATCCAAAGAAGGGAAAGGACAAGTTGGATAAGGAACAGACAAATGCCATGGTGATTTATGTCATGAATTTGCTCACATCCATATGTTCTTATTACCAATTCTAACAGAAATACTTCCTAGAAATTCCCTTACAATTGTTCTACTGCAGGAGATCTAACTAACTGCATTATCTATAAAATTGTTGAATAGGTATTATTATGCTAATATAATCCAGTTTCTAAATATGATTTTGGAATGAAAAGTACATTTGGTTTTGTCACAAGAAGAAAAATAAAATGCGGGGGCCTACTGGAATCATCTATTCACTTTCATAGGAGCTAATATGCGTGCTTTAGATTTCATGCATGGACATTTGGATCTGGGTACAGAAATCCAATGATATTCTCCTAAAGAATTTAGTACTAATTAGTAATGTACAAACATGCAAAGATATCAATTCCAGAAATTTAGGAGGTGTTTCAATAGAATTTTCAGTCCAAACAACATTTCCCACAGCCCTCATAAAAAAGAGTAAAAAGTTCTCAGCTATCAAATTTGTATCCTTCGAAATTATAATGAAAATAATTTCAGTTTAATAGCTGAACAACACATCTATGAGATGTTTCAGATGCCCAGAATTTTTTATTTACGTTGTCCAACATGGTACATGATGCCAGTGAGATGAATGAATAAAGAAACAAAGGAACTTCAAGGGTAAACTTCCCAGGAAATAATAGATTTGTCAAAGCACAAATACAGTTAATTTTAAGATATTTGTAAATCGATGAGTGAACAATAGTCCCTGGGGTATAATTTAGCAATAGCGTCATATTAGCTAACTGTAATAACAAGAATAATTTGCCCAATGGGAAGTAATGTGACTGTGAACTATATGAGGAAAATACAACTTACAGTTTAACTTGAAGATGAATTCCTTTTATTTTCCCTTTTCTTCTTGCTTTTCTTTTTCTTACTAACTTCTATTTTAGTCTTTGTAGCTTGTGCTTGCGGCAGGAGTGTTCTGTGATCAAAGCCAACTTCATCCACCTTCTTTGTTGGCTTAAACACCTCAGTAATTGAGGGATCCAGTACATCACTAGAGCAGCATAGAGTAACACCTATAGCCATGGCCTCATCCCAGAGCTCTTTACCCTTTTCAAAGTTTCCCCCTCTACAGAGCTTTGGTATTAGCACATCATAAACTGGCCCATAACCACCTAATGAGCTTCTCTTCATTCGTTCAAATAGCTCAAGTGCAAAGTTCACCCTCTCAACCCCACAGAGAACACCAATCAAATCATAGTAAAACTTGCGATCAGGTATCAACCGTTGTTCAATCATCTCATCCACTATCTTATTACCTTTTCCAAACCTACCGCTCAAATACAACACTCTTGCAACAAGATAATAACTAACCCAATCGGGAGCACAGCCCGACTTTTTCATCAATTCAAGCACTTGACAACATTCCTTCACTCTTCTTGTCCTACCTAAACAGGAAAGCAATACATTATAACTAATCGAGGTTGGAGCAATTTTATAGGACCTCATTTCCATCATCACATTCAAAGCTTCAGGAACAAGACCAGAAGGATTACGCTTAAGGTTTCTCTCACACAAACCCCTAAGGAATGTGTTATAGCAAAATAAATCTGGCATAATCCCTGCTGATTTCATCTCCTTGATAATTTTCCGTGCTTCTTTCACATTCTCTTGCATAGACCACCCGTAAAGAAGACTCCTATATATACAAAGCTCCACACCAGATATCTTCTCCTTATGGTGATAAACAACGCCTTCTGCTCTCCTAGCATGCCCCTTGGCACAAAGAGCACTAACAATGGCACTAATTGTAACACTATCTTGTGCACATTTGAACTTGTCGAGGTTCTTGAAAATGCCCAATGCCTCATCTTCTCTCCCTAATTTAACCAGGGTCTCAGCCAAAACACCAAAACTCTGAGTCTCCATTACCCGACCCTCTTTCCGAAGATCCGAAATCAATATATTCATAGCTGTATGGTCCTTCTTTTCAGTAAAAACCCGAATTGCGTAATTATAATCCTTATCTTCCAAATTCGCATTCAAATTCCGTGTTGACCACAAAAAAAAACGTAGTAATCTTCTAGTGGGTGCTTCATTTTTACAAGAATCTATAACCCGGCTAACAAGTGATGAAGTTAAAGAAACTTTAAACTGATTTAAACTTGATTCTAAATCATCTAAGCCACCTACTGAGCTAGAAACAACTTTACACAGCTCTTGCAGCTCGTCTGGTGCTTCATTAATCGGCATTGTGGAGCAGAGAGCGCAAAACATATAGTTGGATTTCTGAGTATTCACAGTTTGCAGGAAAAAGCTTCGCCATTTTGGTTTCAATAAGAAGTGCATCTTCTTTGAGGACATTCATCGAACAAGTAGTGTATAATTATAATAATACTTACTTAAGAAGGTGAACTTCAAATGAAATGTGCATTCGACGGTCCCTTTTGTCTCCTATAGCCGGCATTACATGGCGGATAATCATTTCATGATTTCTTTACTCTTCTTTAGATTTAATAACTTCAACGAAAGAAATCGAAATGCAGCACAGCGACAAAAGTAAGAATAAAACGCGGACGGGCCTTTTTGTGTACAAAACGCTTTAATAATAGCATGGAGTGGTTCGATCATTGATGCACTTTACGTTTCTCTCCTTTATGCCCTTTTCCGAACCGAAGGTACATTAATCAGGTAATTTTTAGTTTTTAAATAGTATAATCGTATTTATTTAATTTCAGACCTATAAATAGTTTATCAAGATACGTATTCTCCTGTAATCTAATGTATTACTTATCAAAATAATTATTTTTCGTATTTTGAGATTAAAAAAAATCGCTTATCATTTATCATTTTCAAATTTAGACAAAAATAATTCATTTTTCATATTGTAATTTAAGTTTTATGGTTGATTATATATATAATTTACTAAAGTTTAACTATTTGTATTATTTTTTATTTAGGTGACTCGAGATTAAATTTACTCAAATAATGTTTAAATAAAAAACATCATAAACGTTATCTAAAAATATTGAAATTTTCACTAAAATAACCAAAAATCTTTTCACTAATATCATAAAATTCTATAAAAACATTAAAAAAAAAAAAAAAAAAACACCTCTTTAACTAGAAAGATATTTGATAACTTTTAATAATAATTGGACTATTTAACCTAAGAGGTGAAAGATTACTCAAGTCCGATGAAATTAACCTTAGAATGGTTATATATTTTTTAAAATAAAAAATTTATTTCCCGTAAAACAAAAAGAAATATTTCCGTGCACGGGGTAATATCAGTAATTTAATTGAATCAGCAAGGGCATTACCGAGCAATAGTAAACTCCGTGGCATATTGACGTAAATAATAACAAATTCGCAAATCCAAAGCTCCAGAAAACAAATTATATCAGCAGGATCCTCCGATTTTCGATTTTCTTCTCCGATTAACTCGCTGATCACTTTCCCGGTACCTTCTTATTTTCATTATTCACATTGCAGAGTTATTAATATATTTAGTTGTTTCATAATTCTAATTAGATCCATCTACATCTGATTTTATCATCATCTTTGCTTTGAGTTATTTAATAAGAATTAGAATTAGACTTTAGAATTTTATTTTTATATTTAATTTGTGATTGGTTAACAAAGGTGGGTGAGAGATTCGTCAGGCGAGGCAAGGATGAGTCAGGTCTTTGAAGGATACGAGCGCCAGTATTGCGAGCTCTCCGCCGGTCTATCGCGGAAGTGCACCGCGGCAACGGCTCTTACCGGAGGTAAACATCGCTCAAAACTTTTTAATGAAGTTTTTATGATTGATTGATCAAAATTAATAAGTATGTTTTTTGTTTGCTTTGTCCGATTTTCATTAGGATGATCAGGTAATTGAATGTAAGTAAAGGAATTGTTAAACAGCAGTGTAGATTATATTCACGTTTATTCAGTTTTATTTTGAGCTATGTGTTTTTTAACTGTTACAGCTGTTAATTTCTCATTGTTTTGTTGTAGGATTTGATTGCTAGTATTGTTTTTAACCTGGTTACTTCATCTTCATACTTACAAAATATATAATGTTAAATTCTATTTCAACTTCAATTTTGTGAAGGTTTTCCTTTTATTATTAGTGGAGAGGAAGTTTTGTCATTTTAGAATCTCTGACTTTGATTATATGTCTTGTATAAGTGTTGGCACAGTGATAGTCGAAATTGAAATATGTAACACTGGTTGATTCTTTGTGCACCTTATTTTCCTTTATAGTGCCTTTTGGTGATTTTAATTTGCAAAACAATTTATATGGCTATTTTTCATCAGTTTTCTTTTTTCTCTATATCTGCATATTAAGATACACAACTAGGTACTACAGCTTGGGGAAATGTGGTTTGAAGGGACCATCAGCAATAAAATGTTGAAACAAGAGCATCTTTTTTGTTTTTGTTTTCTTGGCCTATCTGTTGATGAATGCAAAATTTCATCACCTATTATATGTTTGTGAATCTCACTATCCTTTAAAATTGAATTATCAGATGATTCATTTTCTTGTAGGAAATAACTTAGTGGTTCGTATATGCACTTGCATTTTGTTTAATTGTTCAATTTGTTCCTTATGTTTTTTTTCTGACAAGTGATGTTTTCCTTTCATAATCAGAACAGAGGAAGCAGAAACTCTCTGAAATAAAAACTGGATTGGACGATGCTGAGACTTTGGTACTGTAGAAACTACTTTCTGCAGCTTAAATCTCTGTTTCTTCCTGAACTCTTTAACTTGTTATGTAACTCCTACATTAAATTCTCCAGATTCAGAAAATGGACCTTGAGGCAAGGAGTTTGCCGCCAAACGTGAAGGCCATGCTTCTTGCTAAGTTAAGAGAATACAAAACTGATTTGAACAATTTGAAAAACGAAGTTAAGAGAATCACATCTGGTAATACCAACCTCGCCGCACGAGATGAGTTGCTGGAATCAGGAATGGCAGATGCAATGATGGTATGTTTTTCTTGATTGATGAGTCCATGCGCCAGTTATTATTTTCATTGCCATGCCAGCTATCCTTATTTGATAAGAGATCATTTAATAAGAGTCTCAATTTTAAGTGCAATGGCTAATTTCCTATCCCATTATCTGCCCTCTCCTACTAGTTTGGAGTTTGGACTATGCTAATCCTGTAGATGTCGAACCACAACTTCATTAGTTAACATTTTACTGTATTGACAATTTTCTCTTCAATTTCTCACTTCTCCTGTATAATTAAATTTAAATAAGCACTTCATTATGATTTAGAGTATATATTAGACGTACTTATACTAAAGGTAAATGATGTTTGAAGAAATCAAAGTTTGAGCATGTTCATTCGAATGCAGGATAAAAATGTTCGTGTACTGTTCTTGTCCTTACTCTCTAGTATCTATTTCATCATTTTTTTCTTTTCAAACTTACAAATTTAAACCAATTCTCTTGTAAAATCCCAAAATATCCAATCAGCTCCATCATGTTGTGAGTAACTTTCATAATTCTAAATTGTATAATGTTTGGTTCTCCATATTGCATAATCTTCTCTGCCAATTTTTTAAACTGGTGCAGAGTCTGATTTTTATAACCTTTATGATATTTTCTTGTCAATTTTAGAAGCTTTTCAAATGTGAACTTCAGAATAAATTCTCTCTTTTAATTTGTGGTGCCTTCTTTTGAAACTTGTGATAATTCGACAGGTATCATCCGATCAAAGAGGAAGGTTGTTGATGACAACAGAGAGACTAAACCAGTCCACCGACAGAATTAAGGAAAGTAGAAGAACAATGTTGGAAACAGAAGAACTTGGTGTCTCCATACTGCAAGATTTACATCAACAACGCCAGTCTCTTCTGCATGCGCATAACACCGTAAGCCCTTTAAGAGCTACATGTCCTTGAAATGATTTTGTTTGATATGAACTATCAAAGCTTTATATTGTTCTAAAAGGGAGGCTCATCAAGGAGTGTGTTGCTTCTAAGACTTAGTTTTACTGACATAATTGTCTAATCAAATGGTGAAGGCAGATAATTTATAGATCTAGTCGGTTTCCTTTGCAGCTCCATACAGTGGATGACAATATTAGCAAAAGCAAGAAGGTCCTTACGGCCATGTCACGAAGGATGAGCAGGAACAAATGGATAACGGGTTCCGTAATCACTGTCCTAGTTCTTGCCATCATATTGATCCTTTATTTTAAGCTGATTCATTAGCTCGTCGGCCGTGCTTTTCCTAAATGTCCAATTGTTTTTGACACTTTGGCATTCCGTCAAGATTGTTGTGTATGTAATTTGATTCTATAATTGTGATTTATGTTATCATTATTATTGGTTTTATAATGTGTGTTGCAGGGTGTCAGTCAAAGGATGCACAAAATTGTCCCACATCTGTTGTTTCTTTATGTAATCTTCAATCGAGACAATATCAGAAATGTGTTGTCATCCATCTCATTTAGTGTTTCGTATTTACATAGTTAAGAGTAGAGATGAATACCTACTTATTTTCTTTCTCTGTTATAAAGTTGATGATGTTGGTTAACAATACATGCAATATGCTTGGCTAGAATATTTGATTACTTAGAAATATATAGGGAAGTAGATGCTTGGTGGCATTAAATCTGAAATTAAAAGAACCAATGATACATGCGAAAATGTGATTTCTCTTAGGATCTTGTTGATCTTCAATAAGTTAAAACTGCTGAGAAAATGTAATGCCAGTGAGAAATATAAAAATATTTTTTGATTATTTTAATTAAAATTTTTTTTTTTTTTTGGGCTGGGGGGCGGTGGGGGGTTGGTGGTTTGATGTGATGATGTCATTACAAAAAGCCTCCACTTGAAGGGCGCCCATAAATTATTCATATCAACCCGAATAAATATTGCAAGTGATAACTTTCTTTAACAAATGGGCTCTGCATCAGTTGTTGATAGTAGATGATGTTCTTTTGAATTAATGTATCATATTATTAAAATCTTGTCCTATCAGATTGCTGTTGTGTTTTATTCTAAACCGCTACATTGTAACGTAGGCTGGCAACACCGAAAAGACAGCTAGCGTTATTGTTCATTCTTTTCTTTCATAACATTGTCAATTAGCCGATAACCCTCCAAAAAAATTCGTCTTCTTTCCCCCCCTATTTGACGACAGATTCTCACACAAACCACAATTCAACATCTTTCTAATCCCTAATTTATACTATCAAATTTAACACAATCCTCAAACTTTTTCTCTTGTCAACATTTGCTCACAGTATTTCACTACTCAACCCTTATTTCTTTAAAAAAAAATAAAAAAAACAAAAGAAAAGTTTACATCACAGTCACAGTGGTATCTTAAGACGAAAGTCTATGCTTTCCATTTCATTATAAAACTCCATACAAGATTACATGCTCGTTTGGAGCGATTTCCCATAAGGCCAACATTTCTAAACAGATATTGCGAAGGTTTTTATTCGCATTGTTTAAATATATGACCATGGAGATAATACAAAGTAGCGATTGCATCCTTCCCCCGCATATGCAATGGCGGAATACTTAAAACTCATACACTCCATTTGATAGGTACCCAATGATAATCAAAACAGAGTGAAGAAAAAGGGACATCCAAAGTGCCACATGAACATTAACATCACCTCAACCACCCCGATGCGTATGCATTGGAAGCACCAAATGTCTCTACTTGGCCTGATTCGTGTCCTCCAAACAATGGATTTATGTTTGTATTCCACAATTAAGCCATCAAACATTAGTTCTTGTTTGTCAAGACGGGAAACAGCTAAAGGTGCAGAGATTTCCGGAACAAAAGCTTTGTAACTGCAGGTTGCCACATCGAAAGAATAAACCCTTCATCAATAACCAACAACTTCAAATTAATATCCTGAAGTATCATCTTCAGGAGAATAGTCTCTTGATGCCTGCTCTTCCTCGTCATCTTCATCCTCATCATAATCACCTGAAGCAGGTTGCCCATTAAGATCCACATTTACACCATTTATCTTCCTAACAAATTGTCCCCGCACACGGGGCCTCCGTTCAGCAAGCCGTTTTCTATTATCATACCTAATTTTCTTATCAAAACAGCGCTCCTTCCTTTTCTGTCTAAACTTCATCAATGCAGCTTCTCTTCTGTCACCTTTATTCAACTTCACTTCAGAGGATGATGGACTCCCAAATGACGCCCATGAGTTAGCAGACATCTGACCAGGTTGTAAGCACATACCAACTGAGTAATAGGGGAAAGGTGCCATGCCATTTACATGAGGGAGACACTGTGGTAGGTGACTGTACTGAGGAAGCATTGCTGAAGTAGCATGATTTTGAAGGTCATGAAGATTCTTTCGAAACAGATGTGCTGATGATGGCATCATAACTTGATGCATTGCGCCTGACATATAATAAGGATATGTGGTTTGTGCAGGTAAACCCGATAGTTCGTGCTGAGGTTCATTTCTAGGAGGTGCATGTGCCTGAGCAAACTTTTCGTTTATGAAATGCCTTTTTTGTGGAAAATCCATAGACACTGTAGGGGTAGAGGACCTGTCCAAGGAAAGAGAATCTGGGACACTACTACTGCTAGGAAACTCATCTCCTTGAGAACAGTTTTCCCATGCCTCTCCATTTTCATGTATTTGTGTATCAATAATCACCTGTTGACCGCATGGTTGACATTTCTCTTCCATCCTCACATTTTGAGTAGAATTATCATCAACATTGATAATCCCCGGGGCATTGCTTTTAGGCATGCTTGATTTAACATAGGTGAAGAAGGCTGATGACTCACCAATCTTTAGTTCACTTTTCTTTGGACCAGCTGAAAATTGACCTGGAAAATATCGTCAATTTAAGATAAGAGTATCCAAAATTAAGAATTTGTCCAAATTTTATGGGAACCACACAGTATTTCAGGTCAATGGCATGTCCAACCATGATACAAGTAAAGCAGCAATTGAAAGGTAAGAAGTGCTCACCCGTCCGGCGGTCACAAATTCCAGGCACATCAGGCCGACATTCTGGTTCATCAGATAGAGGAGGCACAAAAGCAGCAGCAGCAGTGTTGCTAGTGTTTGCAATGGTGGCCACAGCTGCAGCGGCGGCAGCTGCAACAACGGCAACAGCAATAGACTGAAACAGAAAAGCATATAAATGGACACACGAAATCAGTAATTTAATATGTGCATTATTAATCTAATGCATCATCAAGTTACAAAACTTCAACACTCACTTCGGTTTCCTGATGAGTTGACATTCCTGTCTCTGGATTGGTGCTTCTCCGAGACCTGTCATCTGTATCATCTGAGAACATAGTAGTACTATTTGTATTAGCATCACTCGGGTCTGATGCCACCAGATCAAACTCATAGTTCAAAATGTTATTTTCTGCCAAGCCAAGCTGCCAAACATAAAAAGATTGAATGATTCTACGAATATTGATTTTTTTTCATTTTTTTAAGTAAGAAACAAGGTAAATTGCATTATTGGGTGTAATGAGATTTATAGAACAGTAAACCACATGGCTATTAAAAGAAAGGACAAATTGTCCACCAAGACCAGGGGTTACAAAAAAAAGTTTCAGACTCTGAAATCAAAGAAAGCTCAAAAAATTCCAAAAACACCAGAATTAACCAGAATCCTATGATGTTGTTTGGTTATATAAAAGCTAAACTTTGAACAATACTTGTGTGCAAATGGATATGTAACACAAATGTATGAAGGCGGCTACTTAGAATCAGTTGGAATATGAATACATGACTCTGCTTCTTATTAGCTGAATAAAAGAGTACAATTTTTCTGCACGCTTCTGTTTTCTGAGGCAATACACCATAAAGAGAGAGAACTCTGAATAAGTAATTTTTACAGGCTGCAAAAATATCTTTTTCAGTATTAATCTCTTGGGAAACACATACTTGATGAATCTAAATTCCTTGCATTCATAAATACGTTATGTGCATATCCTTAACAACTGCTGATATGCACTAATTAGAATGAAAATATTCATAAGAAAAAATGCAGAAACAAAATGAAAAAAAGGACAGAGGCAACAAAATAGCAAATTCCATGCAAAACCAACCATTCGCCTTCTTCTCCACATATGTGTCCACAAGTTCAATAATTCATTAGTTCGTAGAGGCTTTACAAGATAGTCGGCTGCACCTAACCTCAAGCACTTGACAACAACAGAGACTTCATCCTGTGCCGACATCACTTATCAAGCCAAAAAAGAAACAGATATTAAGGGTTGAACTTAATTCATAATTGTGGAAATTGAAGGCGAAAAGGTAGTAAAAAAGCTCACTGATAACAGGTATGCGTCGTAGCTCTTTATCCCGCATGATGTACTTCAACATCTTCATGCCTTTAGTCATGGGGAGATCAACTTCAGCAAGTATGATATCAATATCAGATCCCTCAGCATTCAATGCATCAATCACCTGTCTAGCTGACCTCACTGCAGTCACTGTGAAGAAAAACATAATATCAGATCACCATGACAAAGCCCAGGTCTAGGAAACTAAATACATCAATGAGTAATAGAACCACGAAGCACTCCCAAGATAGATGGAACATTACTAAGTACGATAGAATTTAAAGGTGAAGAAAGTCATTTCAAAAAGAAAGAAATAGCACCAACTGGCAACATGACTAGTAAGTTAAAAATTATCTTAATCATTTATATGAAACATTGGATAGCTTAAGGACAGGATTAATAAATATGTGGAAGACTAATTGCAAAATAAGTCACCTAAAAAGCATTGCCAATTCTTCAACCATATTTGCTTCACTTGAAAAAGACAATCATCAATATAAATGTAAGTTGTTTCAACCAATTCAACCCAGCGTCAATAGAACAGCAAGTAACCATTAGCTAAGCCTAAGAATTAGTTCAAGAGGTGAGACAAGTAGACAAAGAAACTTAACGGACGAAAACTAATACAATTATTTGGCTTAGTTGAGCTGAATTCTACACTCTTAAGAGCCAAAAAAAACCGAAAATAGTTGGAAAGTTCATTTCTTTTTCCCAGTTTTTTCTAGCAAACAAGGATGTACAACAAATTAAAATATATGCTTCCTTACATGTTTAACATCTATTAAACCTCCCAACTGAAAATTACACAATAAATCGTACAATAAAAAAAATAAGCAGCTAGTATGCAAACATCAATGTCGTCAAATTCAATAATCTACAATACAGAAAACAAATTAGCTTACACATGTAATCCACTACAAACTCAAATTGAATTCAACAAAAAAAAAAAAAAAAACCTACATACATATACCATACCGACAAAAATAAAGAACAAAATCAAATATACCCTGATAAGAACACTTCACGAGAAGCGAAAAAACCTCCTCCGAACTATTGGCATCGTTATCACATAGCAAAATCCTCACTTTGCTTCTATCAACAAACCCATCTCCACCCCCCTTACTATTTCCAACACCAGCACCACACTCCTTATTTAAATTCAGCTCCTTACTCTCCATATCTTCAACACAAACATTAAAAACAAATAAATAAATAAATAACCACATCAAAAATAAAAAATCAATCTTTATTTCACCATAACAAACAATAAAAATAAAAATCATAAACAATTCAATTTACCCAGAAAATTTATGATCAAAATCAGCTCAGATGCACGTCAAAAACCACGCTACTAAAGAACTTCCATTGAAAATATCTCAGCAACCTCAGCACATACCAAACCCACCTTCAAGCTTTCAAATTTCAGGGCTTGGATCAAACATTCCATGGACTAATTAGATCAAACACCTTCCGTACACTCACCCAAAAAATCAATTATTTAATTTTTTTTATTTCCAATTTTAGACAAAAACCTGAACAACATCAACAACAAAGACAGGCATCATAATAATAATTAAACCAAACCCATGTTTCTATTTTAGTTGTGTATAGTTGGTTCACTTGACCAAGCCCAAGTTGGTTCACTTGCTATAAACGGCAAGTGAAGCCAACCCAACTACCGTTTAAGCAAGTAACTTCCAGACAACAGAAACAGCTCAACGGCTGTGATCAATCAAACAGCACCAAGTGGGTTTGATTAAGTCAATCAACAGTCAGATTTGCCTCACCGTTCTGGTGAAAACAAAAACCCGAACTGAAACTGCAGTAGGAGGGAGAGAGAGATGGAAAGAGGCAGATAATTCTGAGCTTTTTTAAGCAAATCAGATAGATTGAGCAAGTGGGTTTTCGGTTTGGTTTGAGCAAAATGGGGAACGGATGGCTGAGATTGATTGATGGAAGAAAGGGTGCGTAGTGGTAGCGTCGGCACAGGTTAGCAGAAAGGATGACGTGGCGGGTAGGGAAAGGGAGACAAGGGAAAAAGTGCGTAGAAAAAAGTGGAGGGCGTGTTTGGATAGTTTGGTAGAGATGGAAAGGAAGCCACGTCATTGGCTGAGATCTTTATGTGTTTAAACTTTCTATAAATATTCAGAGAAAATAAAAATAAAAATAAAATTAATTGGATTTAGATATGAAAAAGATTTGAAATGGAGACGTGGAAGTGCTAGCTGGAAAGTGCTGGCCCGATAATCTTGCAAAGGACGGCTAATCAGAGTTGCACATGTGTGCAAAAGTGACCCTCGGTACTTTACGAATCCATTAAAGTTAATTAATTACATGGAAAATTATTGTTAAATTGACCTAATTATAACCACCATTATTCACCCTCATTACAACTTATTTTCGTCACATTTTTTAATTGAAAAATTATATTATATTTTATGATATATCAATTACTCGTTTTTAAATTAATGTGTAATAAGGATATAATCTAAAGATAAATCTTACTTTCACGTATGATATACTATATTATTTTCATATTTATTATTATTTACTTTTATATAATTTCATAGTCAATGTGAATAATATTTTAGTATACGTCTTTATATTAATTATGTTAGAATCATATTTATTTATCGTTTTGATTTTTTATGTAAAATGTCATTTCTGTTTAACAAGTAATAATTTGTATATTTTACCACTAATTTGTGTTTTCTTAAGTGCAATTACAAATGTACCCTTGACACTAATTTGTATTTGCAAAACCTTAGAGCAAATAAAGATAAGAGGTCGGGAACAACAAAGCAAATGAAGCAATTCTATTATAGCGATAGAAGGTTAAAAAGAGAATTTCCACTTGATGTAAAATCCAACATCAACAATTTTAATGTAAAATAAAAAATATATTATATTGTTGTGATATTTATACAAGTTTTGGTTTTAATCTTTCTAACACTAAATAAAAGATGGCATTTGAGAACAACTTCACTTCCTAATTAATTTAAAATTGATAATTGTGGTCTTCATTGTTGAAGAATAATTGACTCCTACAAGAGAAAGAACCTGGCCACCTTCTTTCTTAAACAAAGTATCAAGTCTAGACCATTGAATTAAAGGTTTATTACAGTTGTACCACTCAAAATTAAACTAATGCAAGGATTAGAAGGTTAATTTTATATTTAATTGTTGATTGCTTTTGTGTATAATAATAATATTATTGGTTATAGGACAAAATATCTTTGGATTTAATATTAGCTTGCCCATTAAACGCATTAGAATTTTGGTTTATTGTGATAATTCATTATATATACCTCTTGATTGTATCAAAGCTATACTTTGAAGAAAGGCCAATGGGTTGAGCCCTCCTTTGTAGCTTCCCATGGTGATGAAATTATAAGCTGTAGTGCCACGGGTGTTGAAGGCTCTCTTGATGGTGGTGTTGCTGATTGAATGAGATGTGGTGTTTTGTGTTGATTTTGGAAATGCAAATTTTTCATTTTATTTATGACAATTTTATCCTTATTTGCTTCATTTCAAAGGACAAATTATAATCAAGACAAGAGAATGGTTGCTTGAAAAGAGTATTGTGGATCTACACGAAGTTCATGTCAATTGGAACCCACTAGTGTTGTGAAGCCCAAAGTATAAGCAAGTAAAGAAGACCTTAAAGCTGGTAATTCAGCGAGGATTGAACAGAGCCCAAAACAGAGAGAAGAGAAATCAAATCCCAATAAGATAAGAAAAAAATTGAACTATTGTTCTCATCAGAATTCATATCTACGCCATGGATGATGGGCCTTCCACATCATAAAGAAGGCACAAATGGATCTCACAGAAGACCCTTGAGTTACAGGTTTAATGTATCAAATGGTAGTCTTAAAAGTCTTGGAAATTTTCTCAACAATAATATTTATACATATAAACTTAAAATGTTTATCCATTCAACATAGAGTAAACGGCTTTTTCCCGACACTTTCCACCTAAAATGTTTCAAAATAATATTTTTTTCCACCCAAAGTTTATATTCCAACCAGAAGTGGAACAAATGGGCATGATTAGGCCGGTCAACCCTAACTTGGCCCGTATCAACCCAGCCCGCATATACCCCGTTGGATAGGCTGAGCCTTCATAGGCCAACTCGTAGGCCTTCACAAGTTGACCCGTGGGTTGGACAAAAAAAAATTAAATTAAATTACATTTATTATTTTTTTTGTTTTGCAAAAACTCATTTTACCCTTGAAATATAGTCGTTTTATAACAGCTTGAGAGGTCTTTTTGATCATTTTCTTTTTCCATTTTTTTATATAAATAGGGCCTAAACTCTCATATTTCCTCACATCCCAAATTCTCTCATTCTCTCTATTGAAATCTCTCAATCTCTTTGTTGTCAATTTGCTCTTATTTTAAATTTTATTAGTTTTTTACAATTTTCAATGCATATTTCCAAATTCCAATTCTCATTCTTTAATTATTTATTTCTTCTATATCCAATTTTTTTTTTTTTTAATTAGAATAGATAGATATTTCCGTCTCATCAATTTCGATGATGAAGAAAATTATCCTAGTTCCCTTGAATTTACTAACGTAAATGCAGTAGATTCAAATAGTCCTGCTTTCTCATTCTCAGAATCCAATATACCTCATAATATTCTTCCCCTTCCTCCCCATGTTGTTATAGCTCCCGGTGGTTCCAGAAGTCGTCCTTGTAATCACCGTCCTCGTCCAACTCTATCTCAAGCAAAAGCGGGTTCATCAATTGCAGTCGAAACCGACGAAAAGCATACATCAGATGTTTGGGTGCATTTCGATAAGTTTTATGAGACATAAAATTGAGTTCAAGTGAAGAAAGCAAGATGCAAGTATTGTGAAAATATTTATAAAACTGATGCAAGTAATGATACTAGTACTTTAACAAGACATGTTAGTAAACATATGAATCAACATGGAAATAGAGAAACCAATTAAACTCAAATAACTAATATGGGTACTACTTGGCGTTATAATTCTAATGTATATAGGGAACAATTAATTTTATATATTGTTGTAACTCATCAACCTATTAATATGGCTGAAGATAAATATTTTAAAAGATTTATTAAAAATTTATTTTTTTCTAGTATTTAAAAGTTATTCTAAAAGTGCAACTAAAAGTGATTTAATAAAATTGTTTGAGAAAATGAAATTAAAATTAAAAAATAAAATACATAGTTGTCATGTTAGTGTGGCTCTAACCGTAGATATTTGGAGTGGTAAAACTCAACAGGATTATATTTATGTGATTATTCATTATTTTGATAACGAATATAAATTAAATAAATCTTTATTGGGATTTAGATTAATGGGTGTGAATCATAGTAGTTAACAAATTTATAATAAAATTGTTGAAGTTTTAGAATATTATGGTATTGTTCACAAATAGATAAGTTTAACTTTAGATAATGCAAGTGCTAATAGTAGAGCTATAGATTTTTTTAAAATAAATTTTCCTTTTTATGACAATTTGAAGTTTTTTCACCAACTTTGTAAATGTCACATTATTAATTTAATTGTGAGAAGTGGTGTGAAAAAAATTAAAAATAATATTGATAGAATTAGGCATTATTTAGTTTGGATTACTAGTAGTAATAGAAGAAATGCTGAATTTTAAAATGCTTGTATAAAATTAAATATGTCTCCTAGAACTTTTGCATTAGACATGCCTATTAGATGGAATAGTATTTATTTAATGTTTGATTCATGTTTACCTTATACAAATTTAATTAGTTATTTTGTAGCAAATAATAGGGGTCCTCATTATTTGGTAAACTATGATTGACATATAGCTAAAAAAATTCATTCTTTTCTTAAATTTTTTTATCAATCCACTTTACAACTTTCTGGTGTGTATTATTCTACTAGTCCATTAGTAATACATAAAATTATAAAAATTTCAGATTTATTTAAAAAAATAGAAACAATGAAATTTTAGCAGGACCAATAGGAATTAAAATTTAAAAAATATTAGAAATCCATTTCTTTTATTTATTGTTTAGCTGTCATATTTGATCCTAGAATTAAATTAGCGCATTCAGAAAAGGGCTTAGACACATTAATTGAAAATTTACAAGACGAAGCATATGCCAATCAACTAGGAGAGATAAGAGAGTGTCTTGCAGAAGTATATTTGCAATATGAAAACAGATATGGGAACCAGCGAAGACGTGAAACACCCGAGGAAGTAGCATCAGAAAAGACAAATGAAGACTTCGATTCTTGGAGTGCACTTAATAGGCCAAAGAGGACCTGAACCCGAAGCATAGCCTCCTCTTTAGAAATCAAAATAATGTCAGCATGTTGACATCATGTTGACATCAGCATAATGTCAGCATTAAAAAAATCCAGAATCCAGAATAAAAATTCTTGAAAAAAATTCCTTAACAATGCATCATCAAACATCAATAGTCAATACTTAGGAACAATGTTGACTAATGTTTAGTTTTATTGTTTTACAATCGTAATTTTTTTTAGGTCTTAGGTTTCATGTTTAAGGATCTTTTTTAAGGATAACAATGCATCATCAAACATCAATAGAATCCTTGTTACAACTGATTACAAATCAAAATAACAAAATTCATGAAAAAAAGGAATCATATAATAATTAATAAACATTCTAGCAAAAAATGGTCTTCTTCATCCAATGATTTTCAATCCATCCTAAATTGAACTTCACACATCATATGACAGATCATCATCATCATCATCAACATCATCTACAAAAAATTCCGTCAAAAAATGAAAACATAAGTTAGAACTTCCCATTTTAAACTAATTGAATTATAGAACAACCCTGTTTGATTAGCCCCTGTTAAGCCTTTTAAAAACAAGCCTAATAAATCAATCAAGAGAGTCAAGCACATGTCATTTTCCTCTCTTTTCTTTCTGATAACTCCTTTTCAAGATACACAAAAGAAAAGCAAAACACTAAAGCGAAAAGAACCAAACACAATGCAAAAACAAGAAAACGAATAAGACCACAACAAAGCACGCCAATAAAAAACCACCCAAAAGGGAACACAATCAAAGCCAAAACTCCCCAAACACAAGCCCACAAAACATGCAGCAACAGCCAACAAAACACCACAGCATCCGGAGAGACTCTCTCAGTAGCTGACAAGAGAAAAACCAGCAGCAAACAACATCCACCCACCCCATCAGTACAAGGAGAGACAAATGGCAACAAAAAAACATAAGAAAAACCACAAGCGGGGACATTCCACCAAATGTTAATGTTACCAAATCCTTAAATTAATATTATCAAATCCCTAAATTTAGACTCTAAACATGAACAATTTGCTTATACGTGTATCGAATATACATTTTGTAAGAAAGACCCAGTTGCTAAAATTAAAACATTTTATAAATTTGCCTATACTCGTATCAAATATACACAAAGTTTGGTCAGTATTTGTGCATCTGCGAAAGAGAGAGAGCAAAAAAGTGTACCTGGACTCAACTGGAGCTGATGATATGCAATGAACTGATGAAGTGGTACCTGATATGCAAATGAAGATATGAAATGAAAAGGGTTAGAGAGATGAAATGAAGAAGAAAGCAATCGGAAAAAATGAAAAACCGATTGGTACCTGACATCGATTGGAGCTGCTGTTGAAGGTGAAAGTGAGCTGATGAAGATGAAACAAGGTTGTCGGTTGTCGCTGAAGTGGAAAATTGAAAGTGAAAAAGTTGAGAGAGATGAAATGAAGAGATCGAAGGTGAAATGAAGAAATCGCAACGGGAGAGTGAAATAATGGGGTTAGGGCTCGATGCTATGAAGAGAAGAAATCGCAAATGTTGAAGGAAATGAAGGAAATTGGGTTTAGGAATGTAAAAGGAGGGGTTTTTAGTTTGACCCGGTTTTTTGGGAAAAACCGGTTGGACCGGCGGTTGCTACAATACTCCCGATCCAACCGCGAGTAAACTGGGCAAAATCACCTCTCCAGTTTTTTGCCTCCCCTAGCTTGGCTCACTGGCCGATTCCTAATCCAACTGCTCAGGCCGGGCTAGGTTTTAAAATATTGGTTCGACCCAGAATCAACTCAACCCAAGACGAGCTCAACCCAAAATCAGCACGATGTAGCGTAAGCTTGATCCAGTTGAAGTTTGTCACAACAACCAATCCTAACAGTTGTTCAACAAAATCAAAGATAAGCTCCAATCTCAGATATTTCGAAAGAGATAAGATCAACACCGCTGGCAATACAATCTTAGCGCTCAATCACGAAGATCACGGGATTACATACCAAATCTAATCGGAATCCCAAACTTATCTCTCTTTCCTTTTTACTAAAACTTGTATAATACTCCCTTAAACGAGGAGAGAGGGGTTAGCAATTTGTTCCAAGCATATTATTATATTTCTTATAAGCTCTCTAAAGCAATAAGAAAACAGTGGACGTAGGCTTGAGTCTCAACTTGCCGAAACACTTAAAAAATCCGTTTGTATTCTTTACTTTCCCGTATTTTACATTACATCGTTGGTTTATATTAAATCATGTACACATCAGTTCCAATTCTATCAGGATCAATCAGATCTCTCAGGTTGGTACAAGTTTTCGTATCAACAATTTTATTTGATATTTATACAAGTTTTGGTTTTAATCTTTGAGGAAATATTTCAACACTAAATAAAAGTGCTTTCAAATTTTCAGTACTTATGAACTGTAGAGCTGAGAACAACTTCACTTCCAATTAGTTTAAAAGTGAGGGTGCATAGTTAATTAAAATTGATAATTGTGGTCTTCATTATTGAAGAATAATTTACTCCTACAAGAATATTAATTAAGAGAAAGAACCTGGCCACCTTCTTTAACAAAATATCTAAGTCTAAACCATTGGATTAGCAATAATACTATACTTACAAAGATTTTCATACAAAGTAAGGTGGTAAAAAATGAATAAAAGAATGAAATAAAAAGTCAAAGTCATTATATTTACTCTTCCATTCATTTTTTATCACATCACTTTGTATGGGGATTTCTTTATAAGTGTAGTACTCTTGGATTAAAGGTTTATTAGAATTGTAATACTCTAAATTAAACTAATGCAAAGACTAAAGTACTATACGTACACAGCTTTTGGGATTAGTTTATAATTCATTTTGATTAGAAGGTTAATTTTATATTTATTTGTTGATTGCTTTTGTGTATGATAATAATATTATTGACCCCCTTTTGGTTAGAGGACAAAATATCTGTGGATTTAATATTAGCATGCCCATTAAACGCATTAGAATTTTGGTTATTTGATTATTCATTATGTATACCTCCTGATTGTATCAAAGCTATAAGAGGGTTTTCCAAAAACATGATTTGGCTTTGAAGAAAGGCCAACAATGACGAATGGGTTGAGCTCTCCTTTGTAGCTTCCCATGATGATGAAATTATAAGCTGTGGCGTCATAGGTGTTGAAGGCTCTCTTGATGGTGGTGTTGCCGATGATTTGGTCAAGCTCAATGGCAGGCGGAGTAGAGGAGACCGCGAGGGACAGGGAAGGCAGCTAGTGTATAAAATGTGAGTACAATTGAACCAGTTCAAACTTTGAAAAAAATCGAAAAAGTTTTATATTTTATAGTATTAAAAATTTTGGCCCACAAAAATTTGTATTAATTAATAATTTTTTACATTTTCTCTCATCTTCATTTCCTCTCCTTTTTCTTTTATAATTTCTTAGTCCTTTGGTTATATTACTCAATAAATGTTATTCTTTTACAAGGCAAGATGACGTTTATTTTTTTTTTAATTTAAAAATCTTTTCTTCTAATTTTCTTAATTTATAAAAGATCATGAGCTATAAGTTATTGTTGAGTTTAATAAAAGGATTTAAAATTGGAATATTAAATTCCTAGATTTTGATATGTGTTTTAATTTAATATTGTTTATGTTAAGGTATGAGTTAATTAGGTGTTGTTTTAAGTTGGGTTTGATAAATTTTGGTTAATCATCGAGTTAATTTTGAATGAGTTTAAAGAATTGATAAAACCCTAAGTTGTAAAGATTTAGGGATTTTGATATATTGGTTAATTGCTTGATATTTAGAGTTTGATTTGATAAGTTTTCATAGGTTTACGAGTTGAATTTTATTAGGTTAGTAGAATTTTTTTTTTAAAAAACCTAAGTTATAAGATTTGAGGCTTCGATTTATAGTTAATGTTTTGACCCCATTGACTAAAAATCCTAGCTATGTCCCTAACGGGGGAGATGATGGTGGAGAAGGAGAGGCCGATGGTGGTTGTTGAATAAAATGTGGTGTTTTGATTGGAGTTTGTGTTGATTTTGGCGATGCAAAATTTTGTTGTGTTTATGACAATTGTATCCTTATTTGATTCTGAGGATGGGGACTAAAGATCAAATTAGTGGGGTGGGACAAAAGCATGCTTAAATAGAGCTTGCTTCATGTCACCGGACACAAAGTTATGAGTATTGTGGACCTAAAACAGCCCAGATTGAGGCGGAGATAACTAAACAAAGTTCATGTCAATTGGAACCGACAAATGTTATGAAGCCCAAAGTAGCGAAAGCAAGTAAAAGGGACAATAAAGTTGGTAATTGAGTAAGGAATGAACTTGAGAAAGAAGAGAAATGAATGAAACCCAATAAGATAAGAAAAACTACAGCTATTGTTCTCATCAGAATTCAGATCTACGCCATGGATGATGGGCCTTCCACATCACAAAGAAGACAACAAATGGATCTCACAGAAGACCATAAGAGTTACAGATTCAATGTATCAAATGGTTGTCTTAAAAGTCTTGAAAATTTTCTTAAAAATAATATTACACGTTCAAACTCATCATACCCATCTTTATCCATTCAGCATAGAGTAAATGACACTCTTCCACCCAAGGTTTGCCTTAACGACACTTTTCCATCTAAAAAGTTTGAAAATCTCAAATTTTCAGCCAAAGTTTATATTCCAACAAATCGTCGGCCAATTCCAACATCTTTGCTCATTCAACATATTGACAAATCCAATAATTAGCAGTAACGTTATGCACTGTTGTGTCTTTTCTAAAGGAATTAGAGGCCAAATGTTGATAACTCATAGATTTTAAGATAATCTCTTACTTCTAAAGCATTAAAGGACTAGTTTGATCGAGTCAATTAAGATCTTCATTCCTTAAGTTTCATGTCATTGGACTCGTTTTATCAAGTCAATGACATTCATTCCTTACCTAAAAAATGAGCTTCATCATCTATCTTACTTCCCATTTTATAGTTTATCTACTCTACTTATACATGACCTGATGTTAATAATGTTTAACTTTGCGTTGTTTATTAAAATTAAAAATTATAATTTCTCAATATATAGTTAATTTCTAATTTAATTCACAAAACAAAAGTACAAGGCCTTCAATTTTGAGTACTAAAAAAATGAATTTTGTTTATAATGTCGTTGGGATCCCATCAAAACAAAATCATGCATCAACAATTCATTATATAATTTATAAAATAGTCGACAATGTTAATAAAAGTTGTACTATATTGAATGTAATTCGATAATCTATTTGCAAACTTAACAATAAGTTAAGTTTTTGTTTAATCATCTCATTTTTTTCATTGTCGAATATTTCCAGTAAAATTAGAATTTGATGACATTAATTTATTATTAAATGACAATTCTACCTTGCCAACACAAATCACATTATTTATTTTTTATATAAATATTAAAACACGCATCAGTTTATAGTAAATATGGTGCACGAAATATTATAATTTATCATAAAAATATATTTTTGTCAACTAAAACAATTAATGATGTTATCTTTAATAATGTTTTCTATATTTTTTTTAATTTTTTTTTTTTCTAATTTCTCCTTGTATCATATATAGAAGAAAACAAACAAAAAATCATATTTTTGATAAGAAAATAATAGACCCACAAGCAATATCTTTTGAGATTATAATATATGATATGATTGAATCAGTCCATTCAATCCACTGAGTATTAAGTTCTAACTAATTTATAAATTGGAAATTCTTGTTCATTTATTTTTCAATAAATTATTGAAGGGATTTCACATACTTTACAATTATTATTATTTTAATTTCTTTTACCACATTGTCGAGTAGACCAACTTTATAATAGATTAGGTCGTTAATCTCATTCTTTAATCACAGCTCCAGCACCAGCACTAGCAGTCGTTGGTTAAGCAACAAGCAGAATAATACTTATATTTATTTATTTATTTTTGATAACTTAACCAGAGTGTTCGGGTCAGTTTGTGCGCACTTCAACTAATTTTTGGGGTTCGTTTAACACTCACAACCAGGTAAACCACAATGTTATTATGATAGATAGTCCCAAAGTTTGAACCCAAGAAGACAAGAATTCAAAGAAGGTAGCAAAGCTCCTTAACTGTTGGGTCAATCCTTTGAGATTAATACTTTTAATTTATATTAAACCAAAAAAATGATAATATTATACATCTAAAACATGATGAATAAGAAATTTGAACACAAAATACAAGTAATATTATATTATTATAATTACTTGAGAAATTCTGAAAGGATAAAGAAAGTTGATGACTGAAAATAACACTTGAACTTATATATTAGGAACTTGGCTTGTGTTATATTTTCTTTATTATGAAAAGCAGGTGTTTAGGTAGAATATTTAATAAATAAGTTAGGATTTTATTTAATTTATGAAAGACCCACCGACACAAAACAAAGCCTTGATAATATATTTGAGTGTTAGTATACCATCTTCACTTGCAAATATTAAATTCAATTTAGTTACTAACTGATGTTGTTTGTGTTATTTAATTTGGTGGATATTCTTCACTATTTTAAATATAATATTAAACAAGAATAGTAAGCATATGTTAAAGAAATTGACAATCAAAGGCATGGTATCCTTTTACATATTAAAATTATTTGGTCATTAGCTAACATCAAATAGTTTATTAAACAATTTATTCATCTTACTAATTATAACCTTTCCATATCTAACAATTTATTCATCTTACTTCTTTATTTACGTCATAGAATTTAGTGATTATATTATTATGATATTTATTTTACGAGTTAACTACTTTTTCCCGCAAAAAAAAAAAAAAAAAAAGGCTTAATGACACTTTCCTACCCTTAAACTTTTAAAATACCTTTTTACTACCCAACTATTATGTTTCTCTATGGTTTGGGTGGGAAATACAGTGATTTTCATTGTAAAGACAAAAATATCCTTCTCTCTTTCTCTAATCAAAACTCGAAAAACCCTTGGGTATGGAAGCTTTTATCGCCGCTGATTGGTGAGCAAACAAGATCGAGAATGTTGGAGCTTTTGGAAAGGAAGATCCAAGGAGTCGATTGGTGGTGATAGGGACAATTTCCGGTAACGGAATCAACCGAAAAAGCACACCCTAAGTTCATCATGCAACCAAAACACTAGGATGAGGACAGCGGCGATCAATTGGGGTCAAGGCTGTTGGGGGTTTTTGAGAGGAGAGGATGAGGATTCTAGTGGTGGTTTCAGGGTGGATTTTCAAAACTGGAAATGACCAGAAATCAGCCTAGAAGTTGAAAGGTCGCGTAATGCATAATGGGCAATTGGAAACAGAATATAAATTTAGGTAATAAAGTGATATTATGAAAGTATATAAGTGAGAAAATGTCATTAAACCATTATTTGGGTGAAAAAAAGTCGTTTACTCTTCTTAATAATCTTAATGTCATCAAAAGTAGAGTTGGAGGTGTAGTAAGAGTAAGGTATGTCATTAATTTGAAAATGTTGTGTTTGGTAAGTCATCAATTTTCCATTTAATTATTTTTGAATTAATAAAGATAGTCATTAATTTTCATTTGATTTCTTATTTCTTTTCATAATCGAATTTCAGTTAAAGTGTCACCAAATACGTTGACACTTCACCAATGGAAACCAAAATTAGCTATAAACCCTATATTATCATTCTCTATATTCTTTACAAAATAATTATAATTATAATAATGAAGTGCCACGTCATGTGGAGAACCCCCTAACTAGCAAATTGGGTCAAAAGAATTGCACCAAACGCAGGGGCCCAAGTCAAAATTCATATTCTGGCTATAGGTGGGTCCATGAATAAAAGGCTATGATTTGATTTTGATGGTGGATCAAGGGCTTAGATGGGTCCTATTTTAATCATATTTGTTTGATTTAAGATGAAGGAAAACCATATAGTTTTTTCATTTTCTTTTTTATTTATAGTTTACCTTGAAAGCTAAGATACAATCTGTTACCATGTGAATCATAAACAATATAGGAAGCTAAGGTCCTACAAATTAATATTAGAATTCAGATAAACATGTATCTTATTATATAGACTAAATCATTAACTTATTTAAAAAATAAAAAGCAATTCCAAGAAGATAACCTAATCTTGCAAAAGAAAAAGAGACCATTTCCATATGGGAATGAATACCCTTAATATGCAAATATGAAAACATAATCATAAGATTCAAAATTGAGTTTGAGTATAATGAAATGGGCATAGAATATAAAAAAAGGTAAATAAAAATGAAACTTGAAGTTGAAGGGATCCAATATTTATAGCCCTTGTGAAAGATAAACATATTTCATTAGAGTATATTAAAAGCTAACCAATACCACCCTCTTGCATTATCAAGCCAACCCCATTAATCTCCTAATAAAGCCAACTGATTAAGAGAATTTGGAGATCACAAAGACAGAATGTGTAATGAGTCCAAGAGAAACATTGGTAAAAACAATGTCCAAACAACTCAACCTCTGCAAAATTAGTTGTTGGCCAATCTTTTCATCCAAAATGACCAACCCCATTTTCTTTCTAACCTAACCATAATATATATTCTCAAACCATAACCCTTTTATAGCATTACTTGAAACGAGAAGCAAATCTCAATGCTTAGGTGAAACACCTCCCTCTCAATCTCGACAATGCCAAGAACTATTATTCCAATGGAGAAAACCACCACGATTATCAGAACTTCAGTCTATACTTTCTTGCAAAACTATCAATACTTCACAACTACTGTTGCATTTCTTGCCTTTCCTTTTTCTGCTTCGATTCTAGTCTCTCAAGTTTTTCTTACTTCTTCTTCTTCTTCTTCTTCTTTATTGCCATCCATTTATAATCGCCTCAAGACTTTGTTTCAAGCTGCAGGCTTCCCTCCCTCTTCAGAGTTTTTCACTATTCTCAGTCTCAAGCTCTCGCAAACTCTCTCTTCTTCAATCTTTACTCTTCCTTTCACCCTCACCTTTTTACTCCTCGCGAAAGCTTCCATAATTCAAGCCTTGAAACAACACCACCATAAAGTATCATCTTCGCCGCCTTCTTTTTCTTCCATTTTTTCGCTTTTTAATCCTCTGTTTTTTACCCATATATGCAACTCTTTCCTGATCCTCTCCGCCAACGCCACAGTCTTTGCTGTCTTCTTCTTCGCCTTCAACTTTCTCGAAGGAACCCGTTTCTCTTCTTCTCCGAATTGGCTCCTCTTCTTGTCAGCAACAGGAGCAGTTCTATATTCAATTGTTCTTGCAAACGCCCTCATAATATGCAACTTAGCATTGGTTATTTCCGGGATGGAGAAAACAACCGGATATATGGCGATTCTTAAGGCTTGTGTTCTTATAAGAGGAAGAACTTCAACAGTACTTTCACTAGCTTTACCTGTAAACTTACTCCTGGCGGGTATCGAAGCCTTGTTCCAATACCGAATTCTAAGAGTATATCATCATGGTAGAATTCCTGACCTTTCGATGGGTTCGGAGGGAGTGTTAATCGCTTACTTGTATTCAATTTCTGTTGTTCTTGACACTGTTGTGAGCTGCATATTCTATAAAAGCTGCAAGACAAGTTGCTTGATTGAACAAGAAGGGAGATACTCATATCAGATCGAAATCGCAGAAGGAGAAACAGGTGATTATGTGAGTGTAAAGAATATTGAAGAACTTCCATAGAGGATTTTAACGTTTCCTTTTTACAGAGAAAAGTCTACAGATGAATATGGAAGATATTTGTTTGTTTTGGTTGCTTGAGGTGAAGAACCGGGCAATTCCAAAGACATAAATGAGTAAAGAAGGAGCAGAGAAAGAAATGTAAAATATTTGTTATAGCAAATTTCTCTGTTACATAAATACTAGTATTCAATCTTTATTTAGTTTACCCCTTTTATCTGTTCCACCTTGTAAATTGGCATCTGGTTACAAGATCAATGATGCAAAAGTTTCTTTTTTATCAATTTTTTTGTTGTAGTTTTCCATGAAATACAAGGACAAATGAGATAAAATAAGACATCACAATTTACCAGAAACTAAGCAACAAAAATATGTCAAATTTCGGTTGGTTGTACAATCTATTGACTATTCTAGTATTCTTAGAAAAACCGACTTTGCCGCAAAGTGATTAATGAGGAAGTTGCCCTTTCTTTAAGGTTATGACATTTGCCCTGTTTATCCAGCCACCACCTGCTGACGCCAATCCTCTTTTCCCCTCCCTTTTAGGCAAGGTTTTAAAACCCAACCTGGCCAGCTGGTTGAACTGGTCCGGTGCCTTCACCGGACCGGGTTATCAATTTTACTATTTATCTCAAATCCTAGAAATTAACACGACGATCGCAAACAATTGGTGATTCGAATGTTGGAGCTTTTGAAAAAGAAGGGTCAGTGAGTCAAAAAGTGACAATAGAACTGATTTCTAATGAATAAAACAATCGGAAATCGCAAAAATAAATAAACAGCAACGGTGTAATTTGAGGTGTTTTAGCATGGTTTCAAACCTGCAAGGACTTATGGTAATTTTTAGGAGCTTTGTCAGTTGAATTTCAAACATTTTTACATGCTGATGTCACCAATCTGATCCACAGATCAACCCAGGACTCGACCATTTTGCTCCGGACCGGGTTTTAAAACCTTGCTTTTAGATCAAGTACAGACAAGACATTTTCAACTATATCCACCAAAATTGAAGTCGGGCAAGAAGATTTTCAGTATTGAATAATCATGAATAAGAGGTCAAAATGACATTTAACATTTGCTTTACTTCCGGGGAACGACAGAACAGAAAAATGAAAAAAATAACATTTGATGGAATTTTAACTATAATAATTGAATGAAGAATTGAAAAGACCGAAACATGGGGTTTCCAAATTGCAGCCTATATTTTGCTGTTATATTACAATTACACTGGAGAAAGCCCGTCTTCTAATTTCTCTATTTCTGACCCTGTCAACCTATACAATAATTTTTTCGTGCTGGGCTTTTGTCAAAATCTCAACTATCAAAACAAGAATCAGCTTCTATGTTACAAGGTAAAGAATTGAATCCTAACTAAATTAAGGGTTAGAACTTTGTACATGGTTCCAAGGTACAGCGGGCAGGACTTGATGCTTTACAATTCCAAAGGCATTCGCTCCCGTGCTGCAAAATAATAGTCAACAAATGGTGGAGCTGAAACCAAACAGTCTACTTCGAGAGGGACTGGCAAGAACTACAAAATTTCACCGGAAAATGTGCAGAGAAACCACTCCATCATGTGGAGAACCTGTGCTACATATCAAACCACCTTAATCCACTTGACATGTAATACTTCTACCGGGGGGATACGTTGACCATTATCATGTGTTGAACAGCATTCTCTCAAACTTGTACAGAAAGAACTTTCACATGGTTTTGCATCCGCACATTTCGAGGAGTGGCCTTTTAACCTCATTTACATTACCCTCGAAGGCTTAGCATTGCACCAGTACTGGATAGTGGGTTCAACCAGCCTGAGTCTCCTGGCAGCAGTGTCATTTTGTTGTCACTCAAACAAAATATAGTGACAGACTTCTGCTGTATGCCGGGAGCTAAATTTCTCATGGAGGAGATAGAAAGAAATCACTCATCAGCTACTTCACAATCTTCTTTGTAAGATTAATTCCCTTAGCCTTCTCCATTTCAGCCTCCTTCTCAGCTTTCTTCTTCTCCAGTTCCGCCTGTTTCACATTCTCTTCATGTGCTTTCCTGAACAACTTCACAAAATTTGAGAGAGTCGCAGTAACTGCAGTGACCAGCATAGCACATTATAGATCAGTTTTGACATTACCAAATAATTCAAGAAAATGAGTAAGAAACATATTAATTTAAATTCCCTCACTTTCAAATATAAATAATAAACAGAAACCGAAATGAAGATAATTAGTGAAACATCAAACTTTAGTTTCAATTTCACTTCTAATTCTCTTTTCCATCTTTCTTCATCCTTACCCTTTTCTCACATTCATCCATGATCTACTCAAGGCTTCTCTCTTTTCTTTTTTTTTTTTTTTGCTAGGAACTGAGGTCTTCTCTATGAAGACAGATATATGCCCTACTTTGGGCTCAATAATACTTGTCCCTATCCCTTGTCACAATTTCATAGTCATTGTCTCAATCTTTCCTTCTCCTTCTCCGGCCCCACTTCTTTGCCCTTTCCCCTTTCCAAAAAAATCCTTTCTTACAAAAGTTGTTCAATTAAATAAAACACATTAAGGCCCCAGAATTCAGTTGGGGGCACTAGCCAAAGAAGAAACTAGTGAACCACAGAGGGATCAACTTACATACGTTACCTAATGGCAACAGGCAACAGGCACCACTTCAGTTGCTAGACGGATATATATACATTAAACTAAATAAGTGGGAAGCATAAAAAATCTGTATTCTACCTTGCTCAAATGGGCAACGGGCAGGATCCTCACCGAAATATAATGCAAGGGCATCTGCATTTCTACCCTGTCCACCCAGATGACAATCATTCAAGACATGGTCAGCATATTATTTTGAAAGGATAAAGAAGTATTAAATTAATGATTAAAGAGATAGTAATTACCACAACGGAATAAAGATTTGTTACAGATGCCACCTCAGCCTCAGCAACAGATATAAATCCTTTCAGTGTCTGAAATTATAATTTTTTATAAAAGAAAAAAAAGGTGTTAAGGGAGTATTTAAAAAACAAAAAAGAATCATGGCCTACTGAGAGTCTCCCCTTGTATATAAAATACAATGGATCATCTTTTATATAGGTCACAATGGCACAACATTTTAAAGGATTTTCTAGGGAGCATAAAGTCATTTCCTTCTCAAAGTTTGATGCAATATGGATTTAGCTCTAGCACCATATTATGTTATCAGTAGACCTAAAAGTGTAAGTTCATAGGCAAGAGCCCAAATAAGAGTTTTTAGGGTGTGTTTGGTTGGATGTATTGCACTGCACTCTACACAGTAGGATTTGCAAATTACCCGGTTTGGATTGAATTTGGGTGGGAAGGACTGCATTAAAATTTTAATAAGCAAGGGACAATTTCTTAAAAATTAATCCTTAACACCCTCCTCCCTTGGGTTTCCCAGTATAACAAAGAGATTTAGAAAAACATATTAAAAGAATAAGACACTGGCAAGCAAAGTTGCCGACCAGCCGCCGCTGGCGAGTCTGGCCGCCGTCTCCAACAGCACATCCCACAACTTCCTCATTTGCACTGTTGGGTAGATCACCAGCAGTGTTGCTGGACACGCCACCGATGACAGCATTGGCAACCCCACCGGCCAATTTTAAATTTTAAAATTTTTTGAAATGTTTATTTAAAAAAAAAAAATTATTAGTAATTTAATTTTTTTAATATTTCAAAATTTTTATTTTTTAAATAATAAAATTTTTATTTAAATAGTTAATTATACATTTAGTCCAGTGTTGCATCAAACACATGACAATATTAAATTTAATCCAATATAAACAATTTGTCCAGTCCAATGCGTCGTGCCAAACACACCCTTAAGGTCTAACACAAATTAACTATACAAGACATCTGATGTCCCTCAATGTTTTTATGTTGTGAAATACATGGAGCATCATTAACCAATCTAATTGTTATAAATAATTAAAAACTTAAACAGAAAAGACTATATACCTTACGAAAAACTTCAGACACAGGGCCATCATTTTCAGATGCTCCCATCTCCTGCTTGACCTTTTCTAATCCCTTGATTATAGCTTGCATTTCTTCAGCTAAAGATTTCAATTGTATCTGCAGTAAAACAAGATCCCAAATTTAACAAACATACTATAACAACACAAACTTCAGATACACTTAAAGACAGATGCAAACCTTAGTTGCAGGTTCAAGGCTAACAAGATCCAGGTGAAAATCCAGAAGAGCTGGAGATTTAGCAGCAAGGACCTGAGCGAGAACAAATCGAAGTTTGTAACTCCATAAATATAGGAAATTGCCTTTTAAATTCAACAGCAGAAAAAGGCACCACAACAAAGTTACATATACACAGCTAGGGCTGTTAACGAGCCGAGCCGAGTTTCTGACTTAACGAGCTCAGCTCGTTAAAAAGAAAAAAAAATCGAGCCGAGCCTTTAATTTTCTGACTCGGCTCGACTCGTAAAGAAAAACAAAAATTTCGAGTTTGGCTCGCGAGCAGTAAAAAGCAAACAAATTTTTTTTTTAAATTCGGCACAGATTTTCATCCACTCATTTATTACTCTATTTCTTTTCTCTCTCTCATTTATAACTCTCTCTTTCACATTGATTTCTCTCTCTCCAAACTCCAATGCTCACGATTTTCTCTTATCTTTTTCCCTTTCTTTCCTTCTTCCTGCTCACGACTTTCTCTTCTTCTTTTTTCCCTTTCTTTCTCCCTGTTTCCCTTGCGAGCCAGTAAAAAGCATACAAATGTTCTCTTTCTTTCCTTCTTTCTCCTTTTTTTCCTATTTTCTTTTTCTTTCTTTCATTCTTTATCCTTGTTTCCCCTGCACTCTCCACCAAGTCTGATTTCTTTCCTTCTTTCTCTTTTTTCCCTGCACTCTCCACCAAATCTGACGCCCACAACTTGCCTAAAATGATTTGGTTTGGTTTGGTTTTAGGGGAAAGGTCGCGATTTTAGGGATTTTAACATCGGGGTGTTCTTTGTCATTTTTGCAAACTTTGTGTTTTCAAAATTTTGGTTTAATCCCCTATACTTAATAAAACTCCTAAAATGCCCCTAATAATTCGAGCCTGGCTCGGCTCGCGAGCCTAACGAGCTGAGTCAAGGCAGGCTCGAACTCGGCTCAAACTCTCTCACGAATCAAGCCGAGCCAGCTCGATTTTAGACGAGGCGAGCCGTTAACGAGCCGTACTCGAGCTGAGCCGAGTCGGCTCGCGAGCGGCTTGCCTCGTTGAACAGCCCTATACACAGCAGTATAACACATATCTGAGAAGCTGTCAGATCTAATGAAGAGTAATAAATGATTAAGAGAGAGGGCATATATGGAAAGGATATAAACAGTCTAAACCCAAGGTATCCGTGTTGATGACTTCATTTGTTTTTCTTTTTTTTTCCCCCTTTTTTTTCTAATAGGAAACAAATTATACTGTAAACAAAATAAATTTTCTAAAGCATATATAAAGTGAACTAGTTGTCAACAAATGGATAAAAAAGAATGATTGCAACCTAGCCAAGAGTCCAGATACAAAAAGACCTAACTAAAGGTTTAAGAGCTAATTACAAAAGCAGCCCCCAAACAACAATCCCCAAACAAAATAACACTATCCCCTCCATAATCTTCACAAATTCTTTTGTTTGCATCAATGCAAATGACCCAAAAAATGGCCAAAACAGCACAAACCCACAAGACTATAGCTTTCTTCCCCCTAAAAGCCATTATCCTTTCAATAAGAATGGAAGAGAATGAGGAAGGCATCACCCAACTGAGATTGAAAGCATTGAGCCATTTGGGCAAAAGGTTGGGCAATGTAAGGAGGTTCAATTTTTTTCACAATATCAGTAAAATCTTTGGGTAAACTCTCTGAAGGCTGGAAAAGATGGATTTGCTAGTGCAAAGAGAATGAGTTTCAGCATCAATTCAGAATTTTTGGATTTACAGAGAAGCCACTACTGATACCGTGAAACATGTTCATAAAAATCAAAGCTTGGGAAATTGTTGTGACAGAGGATGCTAATACCTTGTGTTGAGCATTCAATAGAATTCATACTGATAAAAGAAAATACAACTTTCTGAAATAAAGTTTTTAAACATTATTGCAACTGATTTAACTAGGTTTATCTAAATCTGTTCTACACAAAAGACTTAATTGTCATAGTAACTATTAAAAGAAACACCTGAGTTCATGGACTCCATTTTCAACTTAAATATCTTATTATGTTATATGTTTTGCAACAACTTTCATCTTGTTTTATGCACAAAGCTACTAAATTGCAGATCAACTAAGCCATAAAGATGAAGGGATGGCCTTTACAAAGAGTGTGATCCCTAATCTAGCAGTACCACCATTATAATATTAAGAATCACTATAGAGAACATTTTAAGGTGTAAATCATCTACAAACACCAAATTCATTTCGGGCAGTTCCATTCAGGAAAGAAGAAAAAGAAATGTAGTAATCATACCTTACATAAATAATGCATCAGTGTCATCTTGCTATTAGAAGCACGTGTATCTGTGAGTTTTAAAAGACTGTCCAGCTTAAATCCAACAGCAGAACCTGCTTACAAATTGGAAACATATGAAAAATCGTATCTGTGTAAAATTAATCATGAAAGAACATTTCATTAAATCAACTCTGGGAAATAAATTTGAAGCATTTACAAACATTTCATTTGTCAAGCTAATTTGCCCAAGAGAGGTTAAGGGGGAAGACTTAAGATCTTCTGCACATAAGTGTGCGTGGGTTCGAACCCCACAGCCAGCATATTGTTATTTATTTATTCTCTGTTTACTTTCCCAAAAAAAAAAAAAAACTCTGGGCCATAAATTTGAAGCATTTACAAATATGAAACCCATGTAGTGTAGAAAATAACAAAATGAGAGATGCATTATCTAGTAATATGGAGACTAGAAAACTCCAGTATATTTTTATTAATCAAACTAAACCCTTAGTTGCCAACTAGGAATTTGTCAATGAGTAAAACAACCTAAGCAATCTTCAGCGCATTAAGTGAAGTACATGCCTCTACAATGAGGTAGCTGATAAACTACCTTACACATTTCAACTAAAGGATTCAGTACATATGAAACCCTTTAAACTTCAGAACATTGCACCATCTAGCAACCTGTAAAACTAATATAGTATGTAAAAAATAAATTACACAAATTTGAAATAGTTTCCATTCATTTTGTTAAATCAGCAGTACTTAAGACAGTTGAAAGGTAATGGATTTTCTTAGGAAGCTGTATTTTGGAATCATTGCATCTCCTACAATCAACATCTTAACAGTTACAATGGTAAGTATAGCAAAGAGCAAGATGAGGCTGTATATAAATCCACGTCAGGGATCACATTAGAGTTTACACACTATTATCAGGCCAATTCCAATAAGATTAAGCTCATAGGAGTAATTGTTGCTCAGTAACTCAGAACAAAAAAAGGATGCTTAAGAGCTTCCAAATTACTACAAATGTACTTACCCCTTGCAGTCCCTTGGTTCAATGTGTTCCCCAAATAAAGAATCTTCTTCATAATTTCCTTCAATTTGACTGAATTTCGTACCTAATTAACCAATGGAAAAACACCTAAGGTCAAAAGGAATAGAGATTCTGAAAATATTGAAGCTTCAATACTTTTAGTACATACCTCCTCACATGCAGAGTTTACAGTATTCAAATTCTTTTTAAATTCCGAAATCTGCAAAGAAATTCAAAAATAAGACAACAGAAGCAAATACTTAAGAGAAGAGAGTTTTCAACTTATCAAAAACAGACTAACGAAGCAGATACCGCCAAACCTGAGAGCCGAACTGAATCTTGAAAGCAAATACTCTCAGTTTTGACTCAACTCGTGGCACTTTCATCAGCTCGAGAAAGTACTGAACATAAAAACATATTTACACAACACATAAGTACATAAAATTTGTTGAAACCATATGTTCAAAAAATATATCATTGATATGCATTCAGGTACCATCACATATACATTAGGTGATAACGGTTCATTGAATAGACAAAGACCTTAATATACAACAAAAACAAATGAAATTCGAAGGACTGTTAGAAATTATATAAGGAGATACTATGCCTTTGATCCTACCAAAGTCTACCAACAAACAAGGATGGTTCCCACTCAGTATTTGATCCTATATTCAGCAAGAAAAAATTAACTCCATCTCTTACGCCTTCCCCTAGGCCTCCCAAAGCTTTCATCTAGCCCAAAGCAACCTTCCTACTGTCATTTCTTTCATCTAGCCCAAAGGATGATTATAATCATCCGCTTGAACTACACTTGTCCACCTCAGTGCCCAAGTAAAAGTATTCACTAGTAAATCCAAATTTCAACTAATAAATTAAAAAATCTCAGCCCATAGTGATACAGCCACTTCAAAATCCAAATTCCAATATTTTCCCATGACAGCATTACCAATGTTCTATATTAGCCACAGAGGAGTTTCAAAGATCATTCCATCTCAAGTAATAGAGAAATGTTCCCACATTGTGCAAATGTAATTTTCATTTAGTTTTAACTAAAATTAATGTCAACACTACATCATTGAGGAGCTTTTGCACATGATTCACAATACATATCTCAAAACAGAAAAACATGAGTATAGACAACCAAAAATTAGATATTAATTGAAGATAACTTTTCACTGAAAAGAACCATCCAATGGTGTTAAATTACAACACAGAAATGCAGCCTACTTATTTAGGATAAAGAAAAAAAAAATTGGATAAACAATATAATGTTATATGCATTTATGATTTACAATTCCAAACACAAGATGAGGCCAAATTAAGTTCAGAATGGCTAAATAGCTTAAATAAATGCACAGTACACAATCATTCATCTACTACAAAGGAATTAAAATAACCCAATTAAAAAGAGAGAAAAAAAAGGTTGAGAAGTTATAAATGTTAAATTCCATTAACTGAGACCAAAATAATCTAGCCACACAAAAACTGTTGCACACCTGTTCACATTTCCCCAGGTTCTCCTTGTCACCAGTGTAGTTCTAAAAGAAGATAAAGCAGACAAATCAGAACAAAGAAGATGAAACAGATGGTGGAAGGTACTAACAAACAGTTAGCAATTCAATGTAAATGCTAACAAAATGTAAAAAGAAATCATTACATATGTTAAAATGTCACCTTAAGTAGTTCCATCTCCTCTTTTGTTGGACAAAATTTTATAAGATTTTCCACTTGATCAACGTCTAATATTGAATCATCCATTGCTAGTACGGCAGCCTGAAAAAATCCACACATGTACATGATTAGCTATAATACATAACGAGACAAACTTCCTTAAAACAAATAACATTTCCATAGAATTTGTACAAACATGAAAAGTTGAAAGGATGACAAAAACAAAATCTATAATCAATTGTCCACCTCAGATAGAGCTAAACCACTAAACTATTTACTAGCAAAAGCAAACTAGTAAACAGCACGGTTGAAATACCAAGTACAAGCAACAGGGTAACAAGTATCTGTTTCAAGGTTCCACAAAAAGTTAGGACAATGTATAGTGAATTTCAACTGAAGGCTAAACTGATATAAAGGAACACTAATGTCCATGGATATTTCCAAAGTCCTACCCAGAGATAACCAGCTGTACTCTCCTTCTTGTCGTGACAACCCCTAAATTACAATGGGCCTATCAAATTTCAATTGTCCATTAAACAGGACATAAATAGGAAATATTTCCAAGAAGTAACATAAAGTTTCTCCACAAAACAGTAAATATCATCCAACCTACAGGTTCAGAATTGTCCAAGACACTGCAAAGGACATTTCTGACAACCAAAACACACAAAATGGGTTTCACCAGACAAAATAGTCAGAATCTCTTTGGACTTTGTTTCTGCATAAACCAGCAGATTTAAAGGTATTAAATTGATTGTAAACTTCAGCACGAATTAATTCATTTCACAACAGAGTTTTTCTCAGTTTGCAAAAAAGTAAAACATTATGACAATCTTAATCACACACCACAGAAGTGCAACACATTCACCCTCACCAACACTCCATCCCCAAACCCCATATCCATGCATGTGGAGCCACTGGCCTCAATTGCGATAGTATGATTTTTCCAAAGGAAGTAAAAAAAACTAACAAACATGCTGAAAACTTGTTTCATGTGCAATCACTTTGTATGTCAAGACCAGGGTAGGGGAACAGGTAACAGCCTCAATTTTCAAAACTTTAAAGTTATCATCAACAAGACTTGTGCAGTTAGGGCCGATAAGATTGTCCTTAAGAATGACAAGCCAGATTGCCAAATCGGCAAAGAAGCCAAAAGGACAAAAGGAACTGGACATCTGATATCTAAAAGGCACTCAACTCTTTCAAGGAAATAATACACACTGAGACTTGCATGAATGAAAACGCTTATTTTGACGTGCTATGTGATGGCTCTTTCTATCGACATTTCTTATGAAGATGTCTCATATACACATCCTTCTTCAATTTAAACAATTCCTTCAAGCTTTTCACAAACATAGCTTTACCCTTAGTTCCACATGATTTTCCTACTATGTGTGCATATATACTCAATAAAGCTACACAAATTCCTTCCTCCCGAAAATTTTGTCCATCTTTTCATATTTAGATGTCCCAAAACTTCATAAGTTGAAGCATTGTATTCCTTGACTTCCCAAAACTACCCTTAACTTATTTACTCTCTTTTGTTCCCAAGGACTTCTCAAACATCCACAAAATCTTGGGACAGGCAAGCCAAGTTTTCAACCAAATGATGTTGTCTACAGAATTATTTTAGTTTTGACTCAACTCGTGGCACTTTCATCAGCTCAGAAAACTGAACATAAAACATATTTACACAACACATAAGTATATAAATTGTGTGAAACCGTATGTTCAAAAAATATCATTGATATGCATTCAGGTACCATACATATACATTAGGTGAAACGGTTCATTGAATAGACAAAGACCTTAATATACAACAAAACAAATGAAATTCGAAGGACTGTTAGAAATTATATAATAAGATACTTGCCTTTGATCCTACCAAAGTCTACCAACAACAGGTGGGTTCCCACTCAGTATTTGATCCTATATTCAGCAAGAAAAAATTAACTCCATCTCTTACGCCTTCCCAGCCCTCCCAAAGCTTTCATCTAGCCCAAGCAACCTCTCCACTGTCATTTTTTCATCTAGCCCAAAGGATGATTATAATCATCCGCTTGAAAACCCAAGGTATCCGTGTTGATGACTTCATTTGTTTTTCTTTTTTTTTCCCCCTTTTTTTTCTAATAGGAAACAAATTATACTATAAACAAAATAAATTTTCTAAAGCATATATAAAGGGAACTAGTTGTCAACAAATGGATAAAAGAGAATGATTGCAACCTAGCCAAGAGTCTAGATACAAAAAGACCTAACTAAAGGTTTAAGAACTAATTACAAAAGCAGCCCCCAAACAACAATCCCCAAACAAAATAACACTATCCCCTCCATAATCTTCACAAATTCTTTTGTTTCCATCAATGCAAATGACCCAAAAAATGGCCAAAACAGCACAAACCCACAAGACTATAGCTTTCTTCCCCCTAAAAGCCATTATCCTTTCAATAAGAATGGAAGAGAATGAGGAAGGCATCACCCAACTGAGATTGAAAGCATTGAGCCATTTGAGCAAAAGGTTGGGCAATGTAAGGAGGTTCAATTTTTTTCACAATATCAGTAAAATCTTTGGGTAAACTCTCTGAAGGCTGGAAAAGATGGATTTGCTAGTGCAAAGAGAATGAGTTTCAGCATCAATTCAGAATTTTTGGATTTACAGAGAAGCTACTACTGATACCGTGAAACATGTTCATAAAAATCAAAGCTTGGGAAATTGTTGTGACAGAGGATGCTAATACCTTGTGTTGAGCATTCAATAGAATTCATACTGATAAAAGAAAATACAACTTTCTGAAATAAAGTTTTTAAACATTATTGCAACTGATTTAACTAGGTTTATCTAAATCTGTTCTACACAAAAGACTTAATTGTCATAGTAACTATTAAAAGAAACACCTGAGTTCATGGACTCCATTTTCAACTTAAATATCTTATTATGTTATATGTTTTGCAACAACTTTCATCTTGTTTTATGCACAAAGCTACTAAATTGCAGATCAACTAAGCCATAAAGATGAAGGGATGGCCTTTACAAAGAGTGTGATCCCTAATCTAGCAGTACCACCATTATAATATTAAGAATCACTATAGAGAACATTTTAAGGTGTAAATCATCTACAAACACCAAATTCATTTCGGGCAGTTCCATTCAGGAAAGAAGAAAAAGAAATGTAGTAATCATACCTTACATAAATAATGCATCAGTGTCATCTTGCTATTAGAAGCACGTGTATCTGTGAGTTTTAAAAGACTGTCCAGCTTAAATCCAACAGCAGAACCTGCTTACAAATTGGAAACATATGAAAAATCGTATCTGTGTAAAATTAATCATGAAAGAACATTTCATTAAATCAACTCTGGGAAATAAATTTGAAGCATTTACAAACATTTCATTTGTCAAGCTAATTTGCCCAAGAGAGGTTAAGGGGGAAGACTTAAGATCTTCTGCACATAAGTGTGCGTGGGTTCGAACCCCACAGCCAGCATATTGTTATTTATTTATTCTCTGTTTACTTTCCCAAAAAAAAAAAAAAACTCTGGGCCATAAATTTGAAGCATTTACAAATATGAAACCCATGTAGTGTAGAAAATAACAAAATGAGAGATGCATTATCTAGTAATATGGAGACTAGAAAACTCCAGTATATTTTTATTAATCAAACTAAACCCTTAGTTGCCAACTAGGAATTTGTCAATGAGTAAAACAACCTAAGCAATCTTCAGCGCATTAAGTGAAGTACATGCCTCTACAATGAGGTAGCTGATAAACTACCTTACACATTTCAACTAAAGGATTCAGTACATATGAAACCCTTTAAACTTCAGAACATTGCACCATCTAGCAACCTGTAAAACTAATATAGTATGTAAAAAATAAATTACACAAATTTGAAATAGTTTCCATTCATTTTGTTAAATCAGCAGTACTTAAGACAGTTGAAAGGTAATGGATTTTCTTAGGAAGCTGTATTTTGGAATCATTGCATCTCCTACAATCAACATCTTAACAGTTACAATGGTAAGTATAGCAAAGAGCAAGATGAGGCTGTATATAAATCCACGTCAGGGATCACATTAGAGTTTACACACTATTATCAGGCCAATTCCAATAAGATTAAGCTCATAGGAGTAATTGTTGCTCAGTAACTCAGAACAAAAAAAGGATGCTTAAGAGCTTCCAAATTACTACAAATGTACTTACCCCTTGCAGTCCCTTGGTTCAATGTGTTCCCCAAATAAAGAATCTTCTTCATAATTTCCTTCAATTTGACTGAATTTCGTACCTAATTAACCAATGGAAAAACACCTAAGGTCAAAAGGAATAGAGATTCTGAAAATATTGAAGCTTCAATACTTTTAGTACATACCTCCTCACATGCAGAGTTTACAGTATTCAAATTCTTTTTAAATTCCGAAATCTGCAAAGAAATTCAAAAATAAGACAACAGAAGCAAATACTTAAGAGAAGAGAGTTTTCAACTTATCAAAAACAGACTAACGAAGCAGATACCGCCAAACCTGAGAGCCGAACTGAATCTTGAAAGCAAATACTCTCAGTTTTGACTCAACTCGTGGCACTTTCATCAGCTCGAGAAAGTACTGAACATAAAAACATATTTACACAACACATAAGTACATAAAATTTGTTGAAACCATATGTTCAAAAAATATATCATTGATATGCATTCAGGTACCATCACATATACATTAGGTGATAACGGTTCATTGAATAGACAAAGACCTTAATATACAACAAAAACAAATGAAATTCGAAGGACTGTTAGAAATTATATAAGGAGATACTATGCCTTTGATCCTACCAAAGTCTACCAACAAACAAGGATGGTTCCCACTCAGTATTTGATCCTATATTCAGCAAGAAAAAATTAACTCCATCTCTTACGCCTTCCCCTAGGCCTCCCAAAGCTTTCATCTAGCCCAAAGCAACCTTCCTACTGTCATTTCTTTCATCTAGCCCAAAGGATGATTATAATCATCCGCTTGAACTACACTTGTCCACCTCAGTGCCCAAGTAAAAGTATTCACTAGTAAATCCAAATTTCAACTAATAAATTAAAAAATCTCAGCCCATAGTGATACAGCCACTTCAAAATCCAAATTCCAATATTTTCCCATGACAGCATTACCAATGTTCTATATTAGCCACAGAGGAGTTTCAAAGATCATTCCATCTCAAGTAATAGAGAAATGTTCCCACATTGTGCAAATGTAATTTTCATTTAGTTTTAACTAAAATTAATGTCAACACTACATCATTGAGGAGCTTTTGCACATGATTCACAATACATATCTCAAAACAGAAAAACATGAGTATAGACAACCAAAAATTAGATATTAATTGAAGATAACTTTTCACTGAAAAGAACCATCCAATGGTGTTAAATTACAACACAGAAATGCAGCCTACTTATTTAGGATAAAGAAAAAAAAAATTGGATAAACAATATAATGTTATATGCATTTATGATTTACAATTCCAAACACAAGATGAGGCCAAATTAAGTTCAGAATGGCTAAATAGCTTAAATAAATGCACAGTACACAATCATTCATCTACTACAAAGGAATTAAAATAACCCAATTAAAAAGAGAGAAAAAAAAGGTTGAGAAGTTATAAATGTTAAATTCCATTAACTGAGACCAAAATAATCTAGCCACACAAAAACTGTTGCACACCTGTTCACATTTCCCCAGGTTCTCCTTGTCACCAGTGTAGTTCTAAAAGAAGATAAAGCAGACAAATCAGAACAAAGAAGATGAAACAGATGGTGGAAGGTACTAACAAACAGTTAGCAATTCAATGTAAATGCTAACAAAATGTAAAAAGAAATCATTACATATGTTAAAATGTCACCTTAAGTAGTTCCATCTCCTCTTTTGTTGGACAAAATTTTATAAGATTTTCCACTTGATCAACGTCTAATATTGAATCATCCATTGCTAGTACGGCAGCCTGAAAAAATCCACACATGTACATGATTAGCTATAATACATAACGAGACAAACTTCCTTAAAACAAATAACATTTCCATAGAATTTGTACAAACATGAAAAGTTGAAAGGATGACAAAAACAAAATCTATAATCAATTGTCCACCTCAGATAGAGCTAAACCACTAAACTATTTACTAGCAAAAGCAAACTAGTAAACAGCACGGTTGAAATACCAAGTACAAGCAACAGGGTAACAAGTATCTGTTTCAAGGTTCCACAAAAAGTTAGGACAATGTATAGTGAATTTCAACTGAAGGCTAAACTGATATAAAGGAACACTAATGTCCATGGATATTTCCAAAGTCCTACCCAGAGATAACCAGCTGTACTCTCCTTCTTGTCGTGACAACCCCTAAATTACAATGGGCCTATCAAATTTCAATTGTCCATTAAACAGGACATAAATAGGAAATATTTCCAAGAAGTAACATAAAGTTTCTCCACAAAACAGTAAATATCATCCAACCTACAGGTTCAGAATTGTCCAAGACACTGCAAAGGACATTTCTGACAACCAAAACACACAAAATGGGTTTCACCAGACAAAATAGTCAGAATCTCTTTGGACTTTGTTTCTGCATAAACCAGCAGATTTAAAGGTATTAAATTGATTGTAAACTTCAGCACGAATTAATTCATTTCACAACAGAGTTTTTCTCAGTTTGCAAAAAAGTAAAACATTATGACAATCTTAATCACACACCACAGAAGTGCAACACATTCACCCTCACCAACACTCCATCCCCAAACCCCATATCCATGCATGTGGAGCCACTGGCCTCAATTGCGATAGTATGATTTTTCCAAAGGAAGTAAAAAAAACTAACAAACATGCTGAAAACTTGTTTCATGTGCAATCACTTTGTATGTCAAGACCAGGGTAGGGGAACAGGTAACAGCCTCAATTTTCAAAACTTTAAAGTTATCATCAACAAGACTTGTGCAGTTAGGGCCGATAAGATTGTCCTTAAGAATGACAAGCCAGATTGCCAAATCGGCAAAGAAGCCAAAAGGACAAAAGGAACTGGACATCTGATATCTAAAAGGCACTCAACTCTTTCAAGGAAATAATACACACTGAGACTTGCATGAATGAAAACGCTTATTTTGACGTGCTATGTGATGGCTCTTTCTATCGACATTTCTTATGAAGATGTCTCATATACACATCCTTCTTCAATTTAAACAATTCCTTCAAGCTTTTCACAAACATAGCTTTACCCTTAGTTCCACATGATTTTCCTACTATGTGTGCATATATACTCAATAAAGCTACACAAATTCCTTCCTCCCGAAAATTTTGTCCATCTTTTCATATTTAGATGTCCCAAAACTTCATAAGTTGAAGCATTGTATTCCTTGACTTCCCAAAACTACCCTTAACTTATTTACTCTCTTTTGTTCCCAAGGACTTCTCAAACATCCACAAAATCTTGGGACAGGCAAGCCAAGTTTTCAACCAAATGATGTTGTCTACAGAATTATTTTATGAATATAATCATTTGGATGTTTCATCTAGAACTTTATATTGAACCCACTAGGTTTTCAAGAAACTGTTAACTTTTATGCCAAAGTAACTTAACTGTAAAATTATTTCATAAATCATAGGCAGAGCCCTGTGCATTACAAGACTAATAATTGTTCTACCCTCTGATCCATCCTCCACAACACTCAACCACCATAAATCAATTAGATGCTAGTAAACAATTCAGATGTTATATTCCCTGTTTTCCCTCAAAGCCAAAAGTTAGTCTAAAACACTCAGCACAAAGCTTTTTGTATCAATATGAAGTGAAGAATGAAACTATTCAACCGATGTAAGTAAGAGCCGTCAGTAGCATAGACAGAAACTGTGTATCATCCTCTAACATAGTGAGAATCACCTAAATGCAATCTTCTCCCCAACTGTTAAGAAAAGTAATGGACATCCATGAAAAGACATACCAAGGCATACAATATTAACTTTTAAAATTCCAGTCCAAACCATATACTTTTAATTTGTTATTGAAAATAGCCATCTCTATATTGAAAAGAGAGTATAATGTCCACAGTCACTAATCATGGAAAAATTAGAAAATGCAACAACTTTGAAAATACTTAGCTTACCATCATATCAGAAAGTGGCATCTTAACTTTTGTGAGCATAATTTCTGTGTTATTGGCCCTTCTCAGGTCAATCTACAATATATGACAATAATATAATAAGTAAAATGGTATAATATCCACAAAGATAGGAGAAACCAAACACATCGACCTCTTCTATTCCTTTGTGCACATTCTTTAAAAGAAAACGATAACTGATAATTTCAGATAAGATATTGAATTAATAATCCAAACTCTCAATTATCTTAGAGTAAACTACTAACTCAATTGGTTTAAACTCAACAAGAACTTCCTGAACATAGAAAGTATATAATCACATCTTCCAATTAAGAGTCTTTTGTACATTATCTAATAGCAATTAATAATATAGTAAATCTTCCAAAAGTTACATAAATTGGACCATTTGATGGAAGGCGGGTGACAAGTCATAGAATATATAGCCATCGCAGGATGAGGAGCACCAATATCTCAAATATAGGGAAGCCAATACCTTATGATATTGGGAGAGCAGTAACAAAGAGGTTAGGTTGTTGGGAGCGGTAATAGTAGATAACAATTACAGATGTTCCAGTCAATTGTTAAAATAACAAGATACATAAATATATGAATTTTGTGAATACATGAATGCAAGTCCACAAAAAAAGAGAACTCTAACATAATTTTATTAGTTGGTTTGGCTTTCCTCATAAATCTCCCCAGTCTAAACAGAAACTAATTTGGCTTTTTAAAAGAATTAAAAAAGAGGCAAACCATCCCTCTAAAGCATAGCCTTCAAGCAATTCCTTTCATTTTATTTTTCAAACAAAATGTACTAGAGTACTAGCTCTCTTCCAAAAATTTAAAAAAAAAAATTAAAAAGGAACAATAATTATTTGTATTCTAAAACTATTCATGCCAAAGAATAATCACAAACTCGCTTTTCTCTTTGAACTAAAAGGATCCATTCATCCCTATGCATAAACTACAAATTATTACAGAAAGCCTACTTGAGTATTCATTAATTACTCAAAATTTCAAGTTATACACTAGAATATAATTTTTAAATTACCAAGCTGCACTTGAATATATATCAAGTCACACATCAGAAACAGAAAAAGAACTTTAAAAACAATAAAAATTTCAAGAAACTTCAAACAAATAAATTACCAGATGGACTTTGTCAGGTTTGGCCCCAACAGACTTGCGACGCCCTCCACCTTTACCTGAGTCAGCAGGTTTTGGGACTGTTGCAGAGAAAAGGCTCTCTAACTCAGAGACATCAAATTCTGGTGCACTAAGACCAAAAATTAAACACTATGTCAGTGATCACAGAGGGAACAAAACTAAGACATAAAACATGCATGCTAATCCAAGGACCTTCATTAGAACAAATGTAAGAATAGAAAGAAAAAACATATCAGTAATGGAAGTTGAATACATTTGAGGTTCTCCATGTCTTTGCAATTCTTCCCATAAGCTTCCTTGTAATGCCCTTGTTACTTTACTCCAATGTAGAGGCTTCAAGGAAGACCTTCGTGGTACCATACCCATAGCTCCCGTCCCTGTAGAACGTAAAAGTCCACGACCTCTTGGAGGTGGAGGGGCTGTAGCAGAAGGTCCTCTGGCACCCAAGAGTGGAGGTGGAGGGGGTGCGCCACCTGGGGGTCTAGGTGGAGCAGGAGGGCCAGATGCATGACCTCCAGGAGGAGGTGGAGGAGGTGGAGCTCCATGCAACGGAGGAGGTGGGGGAGGTGGGCCCCTACCTATAGAAGGTGGCTGAAGAGGTGGGGCTCCTCGCATTGGAGGAGGAGGTGGTGGTGGGGTTCCACGCATTGGAGGAGGTGGTGGAGGTGGAGCTCCACGCATTGGCGGAGGTGGCGGAGGTGGAGCTCCAAGTATTGATGGTGGTGGTGGTGGTGGTGGAGGTGGAGGTCCATGCAAAAGAGGTGGTGGTCGTGGTAGTGATGCTCCATGCATAGGTGGAGGAGGTGGAGGTGGAGGAGGAGATGGAGCTCCACGACTAGGTGGGGGAGGGGGAGGTGGTGGAGGAGGTGGGGGTGGACTACCTTGCATAGGGGGAGGGGGCGGGGGAGGGGGAGGCGGAGCAGGAATTCCAGCTCCAAGTCTTGACCCACTCATAGGAGGAGGAGGAGGAGGAGGAGGTGGTGGTGGAGGTAGCGATGGAGAACTTGTTATATTAATAAGGTTAACTGAAGAATTCGCTGATTTCCAAGGTGGTGGAGGTGGTGGGGGAGGCACCACCATCCCATTATTTTGCTGACCAAGCGAAGGAGGAAATGGTGGAGGAGGGGGTGGTGAAGGTTCAGGGTGCAAAATAGACCCAATATTTTGCCGTGCGGTAAAAGGCAGAGGCGGAGGCGGTGGCGGTGGCGGTGGAGGGGGTGGCGGGAAAAATTTGGAAACCTCATTATCAGTTGGTGTTTGTGGGGAATGAGATGTGGTACCCTGCAAAGAGAGGGAAAGTGGAGTGGAAGACTTGGGTGGAAATGTACCAAACATTGAATTGTTTGAATAAGGTGGAGGTGGAGGTGGAGGTGGGGGTGGAGGTGGAGGTGGAGGTGGAGGTGGAGGTGGAGGTGGAGAAAGTGGAGTGGAGGGTACTACTTTCTGTGGGCCAGGAGCTGGTGATAGAAGAGGGGTTGAGCTACTAGCCGGCTTTAAAGATTCCACCTTACGCCCTGTCTTTTCAGTTGTTACATCTTTTGAAACCACAGCTCCAGGGGAAGTGAGGGGAGAAGAAGCCTTTGAATTGGCACCTGAACCAGATTCTTTAGGAGAAGTTAAAGCAAGAGCAGGTGGTGCACTATTATATCTTGAGGGTGGATATGATACATGCATTGAATTGGTATATGAACCTTTGTTCGGAGGGATCCACCTAGATACTGTATTTGGTTTTGCCATTCTTGCATTAGCAACAGGGGGTTCTTGCTGCTTAACTTTTTGTTTGACTAGAACTGTATCTGCAGCTGGTTTTGTGTTCAGTGTAGGCTGTTTCTTAGGGGTGGGAGGCAGCAGTTTGTCAGATTTTTGTCTCTGCGGACCCTTGGATGCTAAATTCTTCTGCACAGCAGCATCTTCTCTGTCACCTTTATCATCAATCTCTTCCATTTTTTCACACACATCTTTGATCAGTTCCTTGTTTTCTATGTCTCTAAGTACATTATCAGCAACTACCATGGTATCTAACTTGGGATCACCATCATCCACGGTTATGTCTTTCACTGTATAAATATCAGAATCTGCTTTCTCATCTAGTTTGTACTTCACATCATCAACAGCAATGTCCTTCACTACATCGAAATGAGGATCCACCTTCACATCAACTTTGTGAATCCCATCATCGGTTGGGCAATCTTGAAATGAATGAGGTTCAGCATCTTCCTTCCAAACTTCTTTTTTATCTATATCATTTGCCATATTGACACGGACTTCTTGAGTATCATAGTCTCCCTTTGCCTCCTGACCATCTACAACATTGCTGAAGATCTCTTCCACCTCAAAGAATTCCTCAGGTGAAGCACCTTCTGTCTCATTACCATCTTCACTTGCCACGACTGTGGTGAGAGGCACAACAGCATCAGCATCCGAAAAAAGAACCTGATACAGATATGAGTATGCATTCAACTCCTACAGCTTGAGGAAAAGGCAGTCACATAAAGAATAACAAAAGCCTACCTCTGCCTTGAAGTCCTTTGGGAATTGGTCCTTGGTATCCCATAAGACATCAACTTCATCCCTGCTCAGCATCAAAATATTTGCTCGCACAAAAGCAGTGTGAAACATAGCTCTGAACATCATCTCTTGATGTATGAGATCATCCTCCAAATGGATGCACTCGAGAACAACATCCCCTTGAACTCGGCAATGAATATCTATTTTCACCAGTGCACATTCATCCTGCAGGTATATTCATGAGAAAGCCTAAATAATTAGTTTATTCATTTTTCTAGTCTCAAATGGTGTGACTTCAAGTATTACCTGTAGATAGTTGCGGACTTGTTTCTTTGTCTTCGAAGTTGAAAACAGAAGTTTGGAACTTCTATTGGCTGGTATTTTAGGATCCTGGCCGTAAACACGTATAACTGGCCTGCAACCTTTCCCCCCATAAATTGGAAGGACTCTAAGTATCAAGCAGTCCAAAAGTAGAGGTGTATCAGATGGAGGCCAATCAGAACTCATATTCCTTTTAGAAATGTACTGAAGGTATCTCATCTGGGAAGGCTGCGGGTTTAAAGGAGACAGAAGATGGAGAAGTTCTCTAGGGGCTTGCTTGTAGACCATCTCCAATGTCTTCAGCTCCCCAGTGTACTGTTTCCGGTATAGCAAAAGACCAGCAAGCATGAATGCAAGCACAGGCCATCCTCCTCTCTCACAATGCATCAACAACACATTTTGTTGCCCTTCCAAAGACAACCAGCTTTCACTCGATCGAAGGAAGTGATGGATCATCTCCAGCGGCAACAAAGGACATCCCTCATACTGACGAGGGTAATCCATAACTGTCATGTCATACTGAGACAATATGTCTGAAATTTGGCTCCGCCTCTCCCCTTCTCTAAAGTTAAACACCATGAAAGAAGCATCAGGAAAGTGGTCTTGTAGTTGTGCCACAATCCCACCCATGTAAACCTTGTACTCATCTTCTTCCAATACATCGGTGGAGAAGCAACAGTCAAACACTGCAAATCAAACAAAAAAAACCAACGGGATAACGAATGACGATAGTTCAAGATCACAACCTAGGATAGAATCATCCCATTCAGGAATAACTAAAATATGTATACAATGCTAAAGCCTAATACACTAGTAAAAGGAACCAAAATGTATCTACTCTAGTTTAATTCTTCAAACCTCACGAACCCGAACCATTAATTAACCGAAATAATTGTCAAAAATTTCCCAATGCATATAAAAAATTGAGCTAAAGAACTTCAACGATGGGCTACGAATACCTAAATTGCTCAATTACCCAACGAATGAAGCATTCTCCGTATAATTTAGCGAAGCTAAGAGTTTGAACGTAAAAATGAGAAGAACAAAGAACAAAAAGGGTACCGTAGACACGCTCGGAGATCTCGAGAAGCCGATCCGGCGGCTTCCGATAGAAGAAGCGTCTAAACAGCGCCATCTGATGGCGCTGTTTGTCCTCCGATCGGATCCAAACCGTTGATTGGTTACACCTCCGGAGGATAGATCATGTTGATTCCAGGTGTTCCGAGCGCAGATCCCGCACAATTTCTCAATTGATAAACGACACGCGTAAAAGTTAGTTAAAAGAAATGGAGGAAATGGATCGAACTAACAAAAATGGTCTGAAATAGATCCAATGCGAATCGGAATAGTTATAAGATTCAAAGAGAAACGAACAGAGTTTGCTTCAGAGAGATAAAGAGAGAGAATTATAATAAAGAGAGAGTAAAAGAAGTGACAGTAGGTGTTGTTGATGTTGATGTTGATGATGATTTTGCAGGAGATAAATTGAAGAGAATTCTAGGGATTGAATTGTAATTATATTTTTTGCTACTAAAAGTTTTAAAATTAAAAACAGATGGAGAGAGAGAAACGAAGTGGACTGTAAAAGAAATAAAAGAAAAAAAGAGAGAGAAAGAATAGTCGTATCTCTGAATAAACTTTGGTTGGTTTGATGGATGAAACAGCGTCTGACGTGGATTGACACGTGGAAAAAATTGAAAAGGACATGACAGAGAGAGAAAGCTTCGATGTTTGTCCAGGTTTGGACATGGAGATAAAGCCTAAAGGTATATCGTTGGCGCGTGACAAATGTTCGGATACCTTTTTGGTAAAAAAAAAACATATATATATATATATATATTATTTTATTAAATAAATCGTTTAAACATTTTTCCAATTTTAAATTTCTAATTTTTCATTTTTATTTGGTTTGCAAATAGAAACTTTCTGTTAGTTATATATATATTGAAGCTAAGTAGTGATAATTAATTATGTTTTCATATATTCATATTAATTTTATATATTGCTAAATAAAATGGTATCAATATCAAATCAGTAATCATATTAAATGATTTTTATTAAATAAAAATTTAAGAAATTGGTTTTTGAATGATAAGCTGAAAAAAAAAAAAATTAAATTTTTAGATGGTCTTCAATGACCCCGTTATATATAATAAGGAAAAAATTACACATATAATATTTTGATACAACATATCTTATCTAACATGATATGACAAAAGATGATTAATTGATTTTAAATTAAAAATGAACTTTCACTCAATATCATTTTTTATTATATTATATTGTATGAAAAATTATTATATGAAAATATTATACGTGTAATTTTACTCGTATAATAAATGTTATGCAGTCATGTTTTAAAGTGAAATTAATATTTGGCCATACCTATAAAGTTGTAGATTAACAAACATGAAATGTAGAGCTACAAAATTAATTATATTTTCAGTAGTTAGAGCTAAATTAAATTCGTCTGGTGTAAGTGTATTAATTATGTTAGATTCAAGAATCAATTTCCCAAATTAATGTTTTCTCACATCATTTTATTAACCACGTGGGATGGATCATGCTTTATACCTATATATAAAAATTCATCCATATAATAAATTTTATATTAAATTATCTCATTATATCATTGTCCTCGTAGTGTAGCAGCCTCCCATTTTAATTGAATCATCTCATTACATTATCACCGTGAATTGTTAAGATCATTTTATCTAACTTTTTCTCACAATATTTTTTATTACAAAATTTATTTTAAATTTTTTATTATTTGTTGTGATAAAATTAATTAAAGTTAGGGTTGAAGATTCTTATTTAAGAAAGGTGTCTTTTTGTTAAATCAAGATATAGAATTAAATTCTTTGAAAAAATGTTATAATTGAAATCATGTTGCTAAAGTGTGAATAGATAAACCAAAGGTGGCTAGGTTAGAGGGACCATCAACCATGGATTTGTCTATTCACAAATAAACTATCCCATGAAATAATAATAATAGTAAACTAATTTTTCCCACCCAGGGTTTGCTTTCATGACAATTTCCCACCCAAAGTTTATATTTCGTTAATATCCAAAATACACTTCACTTTCTTCACCAGTGTTCGGCAAGTTATCAAGAGCCAAGGTAAGAAGGATTTTGTAGAGTTAAGGTCGGTGAACAAAATGGCAGTGACCAATTGAATATTCGTTGTCAGAATCAATAAAAAATCGCTAACTCTAATAATAATAATGATGGTAAATTTGGTGTTAATTAGATATTTACTATTATTAGTACATAAAAGAAACAAGTGGGAGTGAAAAGCAATAGAGATTAGAGGGTGTGGGGGCTAAACTCAAAAATCAAGGAGTAATGTGTGGCATAAAAATCCAAAAGGGAAGATGCCGCTGTGTATATAATATATAAATGTTGGGGTAAAATGACCCACAATCAACATCACCTTCTCCTTAATCAAACATTAAAGCTTCCTTGTGGCTTTTGTCCATTCTTCTTGGAACCACTTCTCTATATCAAATCTTCTATTTCGCCGTATTCACTTTTACATTTATGTTAATTGGAGTGTTAAAAGTAACTTACCCTATTTGACTAATTTTTATTTCTTACGTGTAATTTTGTCACATTAATTAGGGTTAGGTATAACAACTTCAATTTTATTACTTAGATTGTCACATTAATTGTTAAACATATATCTAATATATTTAAATATTTTTTAGAGGAAAGATGAAAGGTGTTATATTTTGTTTCACGTCAAATACATTTTGTTGTTGTTGATACATATTATTAAGCGTATATTTAAAGAAATCAAACGGATTAAAAAAGAAAATTGAAGGTAGTTATATTTTGTGTCACCGCATCAAGTTTTTAACGGTGTAAAACTTAAACTTTTGCTAATATTATTTTATAAATCAATTTTTTTATGTTACCAAAACATCATTATATTTTTATGGCTATAAAACAATTTTCAAAAACTAAAATTAGGAGTCAAAATTTTGAGTTTTAACTTAACATTTTTAATATTGAATAATATTTTATATAATATTTAAAAACGACTTTTTTGTTTATATTTTTAGATTATGACAATAATTCGAGGTTTTCTTCTATAATTAATGTGGAATCCATACCAATTCTTTTCAACCAAATAAATTTTCATATGATTTCTTATATCTTTTGTTTTAAAACAAAAAAAAAAAGTATTTAAATACTATACTAAGAGAATATCATAGACTACCCTAAATTTTCCAAATTTATAGTTAGATTACAATTTTTGCACTTTTATTTGACTACCCTCAAAGTTTAAAAATGTATCACGGATACCCTTTATTCTAACTCCGTTATATTGTCGTTTGTGGTAGATGAGTGAAATGATAACTTTGGTCTAATAAGAAAATGTTAGGGTAAAATGGTAACTTTTGTCTTATAAGAAAAAGTTTTTGCAAACCTGACAACGACCTGACAAGGGGTGTAAGCCAAGTCGAGCCGCTTGCAAGCGGCTTGGGCTCAACTCGATAAAAAGTCGAGCTCAACTGGCTCGGCTAATTAGGTGAGCTTAGTTCGAACAACCAATACTCGACTCGCCAGGCTTGCGAGCTTTAGGAAGCTCGAGGGTATATGTGATATTTTTTTAACTAATAGGGGCAATATGTAATTTTTTAGGTTTTAAAATTGACAAATCCACCCATATTTTACAATAATGCTACGGACATCGATTTTTTGCATCGAATTTTTATACCGAAGGACGTGGCATCCAGTCAGACACGACCACATTAGGGATAAAACACGTTTTTCATGAATGAACAGTCGTCCAACAATTATGGATGCCTGTCCATATTTAATGGACGGCCGTTCATCACGAATGGACGACCGTCCACCAATCTCGTACGAAAATAACATTGGACTCTCATCCATATTATATGGACGAGAGTCTATTTCCTCTGGACGGGCATCCACCGCAAATGGACACCCGTCCATAAATTTTTTAAAATATAATAATGGACGCTTGCCCATATGATATAGACTGGCGTCCATTGGCAAATAAAAATTTTTATTTGTCTCATACAGATACCAAGGTATTGATTATTTTGAATATTTTAGTTTTGCTTTTCATTTAGATTACAAACATATTCTTATGTTGGTAAATGGTATATTGATTTATTTTGATTTTGCAGGCCAGCAATCAATTTCGTGTAAAACAAAAGCATCATTTGACTTCCAAAGTCTAAAGCTTTGTATTTCCCAATATCAAGGACTAATAAAAACTCATACATTTTTTAGTATGTTATTATTATTATTATTGAAAATAGATGTCCGTCCATATAATATGGACCGGTGTCTACCCTTATTCTTTTATAATTTAAATTATGGACGAGCGTCCATTCAAGGTGGACGCCCATCCATAGGAAATTGAGTTCTGTCTATATTATATGGACGGGAGTCTATTGTAATTTCGGTATAAGAATTCGTCCAGATTGGTGGACGATCGTCCATTTCTAATGCACGACCGTCCATAAAATATGGATGGACGTCCATAATTGTTGGATAGTCGTTCATTCGTGATGAACGGTCGTCCATCAAATATGGACGGGTGTCCATAATTGTTGAACGGTCGTTCACTCACGAAAGACGAGTGTTGTCTCCAACATGGCTGTGTCTAACTGGATGCCACGTATGTCGGGATAAATTATCAGTGTCCGTGGCATTATTCTATTCGAAATATGTAAAAATAAAATTGGGATTTGGGGATTTTTAGAAGAAAAAAAACCTAAAACTAAAAGCTCTATGCGTCTGTCTTTCTAGCCCTATAATTTTTTTTCCTCTTCTCCATCGCTTCTTCTTCTTCTTCTTCTCTATTGTTCTTTATTTTCTTCTAAGTTCTAATTTCTTTTTCTTCTTCTCCAACGTTCTTTCTTCTTCTCTCCTCCATTATTGTCTTCTTTGATTTGGCCATGGCTATGTGGGGTTTCGAAGCAACCGGATAGCAACCCATAACCAGGCACTGCTAAAACCCACTGCGTTGAGCCTTCGACAGCCATGGCCACGCCAACATTTTCTTTCTAGCTTTTAGTTTTTTAGTTACATTTTTAGATCGATGGAAATTCGGGTTTTAGATTGATGTGTCGGAACTTTTTCAATGACGAAAGTATGTTTGGTGATGAAGTTTTTCTTAAAAATGTTGAAGCTATCTAGTAGGATAACACAAAAGGATATCTTCTTGTGGCTTTGTCCATTCTTCTTGGAACCACTTCTTTATGTCAAATCTTCTATTTCGCCACTTCAATAATGCTATAGACACAGAGACTGTGCATTGAATTCTTACACCGAATTACGTGTCACGTGACTCACATCAGCCACGTTTCACATTCACAAATATTTTGCTAGTGAATGACCATTCATCAACTATGGACGGTCGTTCACTTACGATGGACTCCCGTCCATATTATATGGATGAAAGTCCATTTACT